ACGGGACTAGTAAATAACATAGACAATTTTAGAACGTTTTTTTTGTATTACACATTAATTTGGAAAATCTTGCAAAAATAAAAATAATTGTGGGATGTTAATGAAACTTTTAGAAACTATTCACAGATGATCGAAATTATTATAAATATGTTTTTTTAAGAAAAGTCATGGCAGAAATATCTTTTTTTTATATTTATTAACACCTTAATAACTAATTTGGGGAAAAACTCTAGAAAGAGAGTGCATTGTAGAGGGGCCACTTAACCGGTTACCACTTGTAGTGGGAATGATGCAACCGGGGTTGAGGGTTCAAATGTGGCTGAAAAAGTTGCTGATAGAAGTCAGGGGAAGAAAGCATGAAGGTTCAGGATACTCCTGCCGCCGAGCCCAACTACATAAAAAGGTTGGACTTTGATTAAGTCCAAAGAAAAATTTACAAAAAAAGCAAACAAAACACAAGACCGATAATATATGTATATACAAATATATATTAATAACCTTTTACAATACATGGAAACAGTACAAAGGTTTTTTTAGAAAGTGTGTGTGAATATTCTAAGTTGAAGTTTTTACCCCCCTGATATGTATGTATTGTGAATTCAATCGTGTTTCAACGCTTATCCCTTGTTGCACCTACATTTTGAGGTTGATACACTGAAATCCTGAATAAAAAAAAAAGTGTAAAATATTTTTTTAAAATAACTAGAATTTTAATTGTATAATGAGAACTAGTAAAATAAATTTTCACGCTATGGTTTTTTTTTTTTTTTTTTTTTTGATGTTGATAGCTGAAATCCTGAAAAATAAAAATAAATTTACCTAATGAAGGTGTCAGAAACTCGGGCCTGAAGGAAAAAAAAATATGTTTTTTGAAAGTCATGTGGCTATTTTTTTTTATTTTTAGGATTTATTTATCCCCTGGTGAAAGGGTTAACGGACTGAAGGAGGAGTTAACTCCGACAGCATCAACTTTAGTGATTATAATAGTTAAAAGCACAAGGCTTTGAAGAATGCAAATCATGCTTTGTTTTTTTTTTAATTGGATCCACAGTACCTGAAAATCAGCTCTGAATTGTAACATAAAACTCAATAAACAAAGATACTATTTAATTTCAAATGCTTTTATTTGTTTTTAGTTGTTTTTATGAATATGGACAATATTTTCTGAAAGCAAAAAATTTTTTCAATGAAAATTGAATTTTTAATACAATTATTTGTTATTTCTTTAATTATAATAGATTTTTACATTAAGTTTTTTAAAAATATCATAAAATTAGTTAAAAGCCACATCAACTTTTCTAAGCGTCCTTATGAGATTATCATTGTCTAGCGCTTTGAAAATTGTATCATTTGAACCAATCAGAAGATCCGCAGTAATTAAGAAATGTAATTTGTGTTTATAATCGGGCGGTAATTATAAAGTACGGAAGACCAAACAGAATACAATTAAGTTGCATTATTTGAGTTCAGCAGTGTTCTCCGCTGTTAAGGCCTTTACTTGTGCGAAACATGTATCGAGAAGTTAATTTGATTTTTCAATTCCAACTGAGAAGGGTACATATAAGTATCATCTTATGAAATTTAACTACTGCTAAACTTTAATTTATGATCTTATTTTTATATTAATCTCAGTTATGACACTTTTCATTAAATGAAATATCAAAATTAATAATAAAATGAATGGAAATACAAATAACACAATAAAAAATGTAATAAATGTACATAAAATTATAGTATTTTATGTACACTTCTGATAAAATTTCATAAGAAAGGTACCTATAAATTAATTAGATACCTTTCTTATGAAATTTAATCTCACTCTTAACAGTCTTATTTTTTAATATATTTTCTATAAAGCATCGTAAACGTAAAGATGAAAGCTAAGTACAAAAAAAAAAAAAAAAATTAAAAAATTAGAGCGCTGAAAGTTTCCCTAAAAAGTAACGAGGTAAATAACTTGTTCACTTAAATCTAAATAATTTCACTTCCTTCCATCCGTAGAAAGAATTATCCTCCCGTAAGTTATCTAAACGTCATGAAAATGTCTTTTGTCACCTGTCAAATGACGCGAAAGACTTGCTTTGTCTTATTTTCAAATTACATTTTTTCGGCGCAGAAGCTAAGTTAAGCTTGGTTCAAAATATTTTAAATAAACATTATAATTTCTGATTCTATTAAAATAAGTTTTGAAAAAAATGATAATTGATTTTTAAAAGAATATCAAAATCAGATTTTCATCTTTTTTTATAAAATGGAAAAAATGATTGAAAATGATGGATTATCTGTCCTTTTTTTTTTGACAAAAAAAAAAAAAACAAGATTTTTAACGAAAATTTCGGACGTGCTAGGAACGATTAAAAAATGTGAAAAAAATACCCCCAAAATACTTTGATCTTTCCTCTTTAATAATATGAACATTGGTCATTAGACGATAAAATTTTGTTTTCGTCAAGTTCGGCGTCTTTTTCATCATTTCGTAGAGGATCCTAGATGACAAGGAGAAAGCAACCAATCTCCTGGGGTACTCAGATGCAGGCTGGGCTGGTGATTTAGATGATCGCAGATCGACCTCCGAGTACTTGTTCATAACTCCATCAGATCTTTAACTTCTACGCATGTACATTGTACAATAACACACAAAATGTTATGTTTTTTAAACCATTTTGTTTTTGTTCCTTCTTACTTGTATTTCATGCTTTGTGGTACACTGTCTTTTACGTTTATTGTGTGGTCATGTTGTTGCAGACCCGGCAGCGTGCAGTGCTGGTTTATTACAAAGTGGCCTTGTGCCAGACACCACACTAAACTACCGAGTCTACAAGCAATGTAAAAAAAACAAATATGTGCGTGAATGAACAGTGAGAGGAAAGGGGTCAATCAACAAGTGCATAAAATAAAATATATTAAGATAGCCGACTCAGAATGACAGGAAAAGACTGGATTCAAACAAGAGTAATTTTTATTAAATGCAGGAAAAACAAGTAACTTCTCAATGAATATGTTCCGCGCCAAAATTAGAAAACAAGATGGCTAAAGGCGGGAAGAGTTCTTGAAGAAGAAGAAAGGTTCCAGATAAGTCAATGTACATGATAATATACATACAAGGAAAAATACTCACTGCGAGTTTTTGGCTAATGTGAGTGAAATGTTATGTATATATTTTTTTCTTTTTTTTGTGTACTGGTTCAAAACAGATTTATGACAAGACCCAAAGTGGACGACGAATTAATATTTTGGATGTTTTGCATCGTCTCGGAGAAGGACTTTGAATGACGAGCCGAAGGGGGACGACGAATTAATATTTTTATGTTTGCATTGTCTCGTAGGAGCTCTTTTTTTTGAATGACGAGCCAAAAGGACGCAGAATTAATTATTTGGTGGTTTTATTGGTTACATGTTGAATACTAAGTTTCTGCCGACGACTGTGTCGTGTCTCTAACGTCTTCTGGTCGAAAACGGAGAAGGTCTGATCTGCGATTAGCAAGTTGTTCGTCAGTAGGATATCCCTGTCTGTATTTATTGGTTCGCTGACGAGGGATAAAAATAAGCCATTATTAGTTGAATACGAAGTTTTGCTCACGACCGTGTCGTGTGTCTCTAACGTCTTCTGGTAGAAAACGGAGAAGGTCTGACCTGCGGGCAGCTTCAAGACGAGAAGAAGTCTTGGTAGAGTCAGAGTGTGAAGTCGAAGTTGTTCGTCAGTAGGATATCCCTGTCTGTATTTATTGGTTCGCTGACGAGGGATAAAAATAAGCCATCATTAGTTGAATACGAAGTTTTGCTCACGACCGTGTCGTGTCTCTAACGTCTTCTGGTAGAAAACGGAGAAGGTCTGACCTGCGGGCAGCTTCAAGACGAGAAGAAGTCTTGGTAGAGTGTGAAGTCGCCATTGTCGAAATAAGATATTCCAGCCCGCATATGGGTTAAGGGCACGGAATAAATGAGTTGCCCATCTAGTCGGGTCGAAAGTCGAGAGGCAACTGCTTGCAAACGCTAGCAGTTTTTTGAGACGCCGAATAACGCGCGGGAAAATTCAAAATCTGTTATGAGTCCAAATCAGCAGGAGCTAGCGAGGTTACTGCTATGTTTAGCTGTGAGTGGAAGGTAGGGGTGAAAAACCGCGCGCACACACGCACGAGTGTGAAAGGAAGGGAGGAAACTCACGCGCGCGTAAAATATAAATGGAATTAATGTGTTAATTCCATAATGTTACACGCATTCGTAAACAAACATCCTTATCAACAAAAACAGATATCTACAATTGTGCATTCTTATTACCAAGTAACTCCAACTTCTGAAACAACCAGACCACCACACCCTAATTAATTGTATTATTTTTTTACATAACATTATTAATCTCAATAATTAATGAACATAGTTCGCGCATTAATTATTTCATTTCTAACATTTTTTTTTATTTTGTAATTTTATTTTGTAGATAATCATGCTCTTTACAAAATTCGAACTTTTATTGTCGATTAGACAGTAGATTTTATAAAAATTTAATTGTTATTTTCGAGCAGCATGTTTAGTTTTTTACACGTACGGTAAATAACGATTTGGGAAATTTTTAATAGAGCGCGGAGGTTAAAAAGGAAATTACCTACAAGAATAATTTTATATTTCTAAAAAAAAAAAAAACAAAAGAAAACCACAATTTTTTAAAAAGTTTATTTATTAACGAAATAACAAAATGCAATATTTATCATTTCCCTCTTTATTTACTGCGACGTCAGTACTACAACGTACTTTTTTTTTCTTTCTTTTTGCGGTTTAAAATAAATTATCTCATTCGGGAAATACCCGTCCGCATTCAAAATAGTTTTTAAATAGTTATTCAAGTTTAATAAGGTACTTGTTTGTCAGTCTCACTGATTTGATGAATCGAATTACTCGGGTATTGTTCCTTAAAATTCCAGTTCCGAGAAAAGAAAATAACACCAGCAGAATAAGTGATTCCCAACTTCGTGACAACAAACAAAAACATTTATTTACAATACATGCTAAAAAAAACAAGAGTTAAAGAAAGTCTAAAGGTAAGCCATTTTGCTTTAAAGTTTGTACTACCTTCGTACAATTAAAGTTCGAACTTGTTTAAATAAAAATAAATTTTTAAAAAAATACAGCGAATTCCCTCTAAAAAGGTAAAAACAAAAAACACACAAGCAAGAAATGGTGGTGTGGTGTCTCTCTCTGCAATGCGACCACCACACCTTTTTCCTAAGTGAAGGGCTTAGTAATAAGAAAAAAGATTAATGAATTTTTGATAAAATTGCAGATTAGGACCCAGAAACCAATTTTAAAAAGAAGCATCATTTCTTGTGTAAAAAAAAAAAATCTTTAAAGGAGTCTTTTGTGTTTCGCATTGGTCTTTTCTCTTAAATAACAACAAACATTTTGACTTTTTAAAACTTTGTTTTTATTAAGTTTGAGGCTTTTTTTTTTTGGTAAATTTTCATTTTAACACCCGAGCGTCATTTACTGCTGAACTATTTTCTTTCAGAAATTAGTACGCCCTTCCCCAAAGCGATTTTTTTTTGTACTTAATTTAAGAATAAAGTTAACTTTCAAATATATGTAAACATCGACAAATAAAAGAATAACCAAAAAACAAAAAAAAGACCTAACCCTAATTTGAAAGTTAACTTTCTTCTTAAAAAAAAAAATTTTTAAATGTTTTAAGAAAACTAACAACAACAAAAAAACTGTTTTTACGTACCCCACAATCACAACTTTTAAAATATTCGCTGAGTTTAGCAAATCTTTTTCATACAAACTAAAATTACATATTTGATTTTTTAAAAGAAGTTAGAAATTTGATTTAAGTCAACCCTGCGAATAAAGACACACACACGCAAAAAAATATTCTACTTGACACATTTTTTGATGACTAGTTCAAAGAATTGTATTCATTTACTGTCCATCCATTTACAAAGTAACCTAATGTATCGGAACTTTTAAAAATCACCAAAGGTTCCCCGCTCCCAAACTAAAAAAAAAATGTACGTGGAAAGTTTAACAAATTCTTTTCAATATTTGTTATCGGTGATTTTCCTAGTTACTGCTAAGAGAGTAATAATATTTTTTTCACATTTTTTTAATTGTAAATTTTGAAATTCATTTTGATTTTTGAATGTAATTTTTTTATTGTATTTTTTTTTTATCTGATTCAATTTAAGACGAGATTTGTCACCAAATGTATCCTTTTTTTGTATTGTAAACAGTAAACTTTTTTATTTTATGTGACCTGGAAAAATAAAAACAACATTTTCTAGGACTAGGAGTATGCATAGGTGCGTCATTTTTCCAAATTCAGCATGGTCTGAGCGAGGTTACGTACTTCATTTGAAAACTGTATGAGGGAAATTAGGGAATTCAACAGTGGACAAAAAAATTTCATATGACTTTTTTTAGGGACCTCCACTTTTTTTCGGCAAAATTTTCGATACCTAACTTTAAAATAAATTTTAAAAAATGAAAAAACATGCTTTAAGATTTAATTTTAGCTTTAATTGAAAGTTTAATCATTAAATGTATTATTTCCATTAAGGAAACAATTCTGGTGTATTTCAGATAGAAACTATACATTGGAATGTCAAATTTAGTTTTGGAATTTTAAATTTTCTTAAAAATCCCGCCATTTTCTTAATTTTAAGAAATTTGTAGACAAACACAAATTTATCGATTTTAAAAATATTTAACAAAGTTTCTGACACGTTATTTTACTTTATAATTGTTTTCACAATGTGGAATAATATTCACAAAAAAGGAGGATATAAAAACATACACAAGTGACAAAAGTACAAAAAACTAAATGAAATTAGTTAAGACTAGTGAAACACATTTAAAAAAAGAAGAAAAAAAAAATTAAATTTAAAAAAAGTTTAAAATTTCAGCGCCCCCTCTCGTTCGTGCTCAGTGTAGTAGTCACATCAACGTAAAAAAAATGTCACCTTTTAGTCCTAAAGGACCAAATGCGTCACACGAAAATATTTTCCACTTTCTTTGTCATTGATTTTCCTAAAAAAAATTATACCCTTTTTTTTTTTCTAGCATTTAGGTACCAACATGAGATCGCTGGAAAATGAGCATAGCAGCAGGATAATAACGGCCTTAAACTTGATGAAAACAAAATTTTATCGTCTAAATGTTTGTTTTTATTAAGAGGAAAGAACAAAATAATTTTAGTAATTTTTAATTATTTTTCAAAATGTTTCCGTCTTTATTAAGAGCATTCTAACTTTTGATTGAAAAACCTCGTTTCTCTTCATCAGCGAATGTCCTACTACACGGCAGATTTTTTTTTTAAATAGCAGTCATTAAATTTGAAAATCTTGCAAAAATAAAAATAATTGTCGGATTTTAATGAAACTTTCAGAAACTGTTCATAAATGATGAAAATTAGGTAAATTTTCATTTCAACACCCGAGCGCTATTATTATCCCTTCAAATTTTTCCAAAATAGTCTTATTTCCGTGCAAATGTATATGCTAAACTGAAATCAACAATTAATTAAATAAACCTACACTTTTTCGATGTTAACGACCAGAAAAACATCGAACTTCTCGCTTTTTTTGTCATCCCTTACCGGCTTATTGATAAGTAATTAAGTGCTGGATTATGTCGGTGGACGTATACAATTTGGGCCTATTTACTCCTTTCACTGTAATTCCTTGTAATTAACTTTCAAATTAGGGTTAGGAGAGAAAAATTGAAAAAAGCAAAAGGACTAGAACACCACCACTTTCACAAAAGGAGATGGGATATAAAAATGAATATCTCACTCCTAGGGTTCTCCCCCATACTGGTGCAACTGGTGCTGTTCTTGCAGCGGAAGTTGCTACTGGTTTGGAAGAATTTAACAATGTGGGTACACTTAAGGCTATTCTTGTCGATAACACTAATGCAAATACAGGTTGTGAAGCTGGACTTGTTACACTCTGAGAGAAAAAGATGGTACAACAAAATGTCCTACAACATTTAATGGCCCACTACATATATTATGAGGAAATGATTATTATGATTTCCCCAAGTAACATTTAAAGCAGTTGGTAGTCCTCTGGATGCTTTTTGTTTGACTATTGACAATAAAGATGATCTAATTTGTACCAGAGATTTCTCTTGAAATATACAGTAGGTATTTCTATAGGAAAGGTTGACCCTAGATTTGCATCATGGAAAATTGGTCTAATAAATCAGACAAAGTGGTTAACATTAGCCATCAGGCTAATGTGTTTATGGACTCTAGGAACTTACCCACAAAAATTTTCTAGCAAACTTCACAGCCTGATTAAATTTATCATTGAAGTATATGCTATTAGTTGGTTTGAAATAAAATATAATATAATATATATATAATAAATAAAATATGTTCCATAACCAGAAACTGTATATTTTCAGTAAGGACTAAGAAACAACCACATGAAATCCAAAAGATTACATTGAAAAACACAGCATAATACTTTTGCCTTACTGATGGTACAAAGCTAGAATTGCTAGAATTGCCAGATTTGCCCTCACACTCTTAAAAGTGTTGAACGAGCAGTCAAGTTAACCACAGAAGCTTCCCAATTGATGTATGGCTTTGAAGTAAAGCACAGGCACATAATTACAAAAGTTTTGTGTCATAAAATAAGGCCTTTCTTTTCTTCTAAAGGCTCTTACATGGCACAATTTGACACTATATGTTAGACAATAATGACCATTATTTGTCACAGTCAAAGTTAATAGTTTTAGGTTATTTGTGTTTTTACATTTTCTAACTATTAATGTACAAAATTTAAATTTTCAAGATTGACAATTATTAAAGAAAGATTTTTTTGTTTAGTCTTCATTTTTAAATATCCTTAATAGGTTTTTCAAGGGATGTTCAAATTAAAATTTTGGTTTTTAAATAAGATGATCTTTTAAATGTATTCACTATTACTGCTAAATTAATATTGAAGGTGCCAGTGGCGATGGGGGAAGGGACACATTTTAAATTTGAATCCTTGTTATATTTTCTTCATTTCATTTTGATAGAATAAAATGACAACATTCTTTGCTTTAAATACTGAAATTGTTAAATTTTCTAATCAATTTTTAGGCCAAATGTTGCAAAAACAAGGATTTTTCAGTGCATTTTTGCATACAATCTTTAATGATATTTCCTCAAATAATGGTGCTAGTGAGAGATCTAGTTTTAGATATCACTACTTATTATATCAATACACAACATTCTGTGTGTCATGCAATTTGATATTTTGATATATTTAAAACTTTTCTTACAGGTTTCCAGTTATGCCAGCTTCAACAAAATCTCCTTGTATTAATATCCATGAATATCATCATAAAGATTTTGGATGTAAAGATTGTGGTGTCTGTCTAAAAGGGACAGGAATTGATCTCAAACAAGTAAACTTTTTTTAACAGACTTTTTTCTGATCCACCAGTTCTTTATGAAATGTTTTTTACTAACTAGAAAACTTATCACTTCAATTTATTTAATGCCTGTTATTGCAGGTTGAACATGCATAATTTACAATAGAAATTAATAAATATACAGATCTTGAGGACTTCTTCATAGTCTGCTTTCTACAGAAGTTAATTTAAAAATTCTCTAAATTTTAATCTTTACTTTATCATGAGAGAGGGTGGTTGGTTTTTAAAAAAACTGTCAAAATTCAAAGGCATCAACAGTTAAACTTTCATTAAGAATATTAACAGTTTGTTGGCAGCAGGACTTTCATTAGGTTAGAAGAAGACAAAATAACAAAGTAATCATACTTATTATAAAACCCAGGTTGTGTGTGTGAGTGTGTGTGTGTGTGTCTGTACGTTTATATATTGGATCGGATTTCTTACATTTTTCAACCGATTTCAACAAAACTTCACAGGACTACGTAAAATTACCCTGCGGTGGTTCTGACAGCGCTAAAAATTGGAAAAACACAATTGTTTTTTCACGAAATCAATTTGAAAATACGATTAAGAGAATGAAAGGGGGACAACTCATCGAGTTATACTTAAAAAACCCAGGTTGTTTGTGTGTGTGTGTTCCTTTATATATGGGATCGGATTTCCTACATTTTTCAACCGATTTCAACAAAACTTCACTTTTTTTTGGCAGGTAGTGTTTCTTATTGTCTTGCACAGTTTTTTCTTTATTTTTACATTCAGAATGCTTTAAAAATTCCATTTACAAGACAATTGTTTATAATAAAATTCTATTCAATGAGTAGACTCATAGCGATTGAAAACAATGTTTTTGTTTGAGTTTGGGTTTGACCAATTCGTAACAAAACAAAAAAAAAACTAATCAAGACATGCGTGTCCATCAATCTTAAACAATAATCTTTGTCAATTTTATTTTTCAGTCTTTATGATGGTCGATACTTGATCTATCTCTTACTGTTACATCCCCGGGCAACGCTGGGCTCTACTGCTAGTCTTTATTAAGGATAGTTGCCATTTCTCTCAGTACTTAAAATTATATATTTACTTCTAATATGTCATCTACAGAGGTAATTTATTTTATAAATGCTATTGATCTTTGTGTGTATGTTAATGTTTGCCTGTATACACATGTATTTGAATGAATGTATGTATGTATGTATGCATGTGTGTGTGATAACTAATTTAAAAAAGTAGAACAATCATTTTTTTTTTCAATGCTATCAGTAGCATAATGTCAGTTATATTTTCTAAACAATCAGCTTACCTTTAATCTACTAATTATGTACCTTTTGTGTTACTAAAGTAGTATGGATCAACAGTGTATTTAATAAATATTAAATATAAACAATATTGACAAATAAAACATAAAATAATTATCATCAAAAGGAAAATACATGCCTCTCTAAACGGTCATTAATTTCTAGGTTGTTCAACGGTTATTTATTATTAATTAAATAATGAATGCATAAATCATTTTCAGTATCAACAATAGATCTATAAATAACTTTCTTTGAAAACCATACCATTTACCCAATGGCAATAGAACTAGAACAGTCTACCCCAGTGAGTGAAATAAAGGATTCAGTTCGACATTCCAACCACCTGAAGAAGGCTGGAGCATAGAATGGCCGAAACGTTGTAATAAATATGGCAACAAAGATGAGGACAATAGTCTGAATAATGTAATGTACTTCAAAACTACATTTATAGTTAAATTGGAAAAAAGTAAGATTGCCTTGTAATTGATCTACATCATCAGTTGCAGATGAAAGTAGATGTGTACCTGTAACACACAATGCCATTTATGATTGCTGTATGGATTTTATATGCATTTGTATAATTAATAAAAGGATATATGTGTCTATGGATATTGTATAGTTTTCTTTTACTTTTTTGTCCTGTTTTGTTTCTATAGGAAATTAACCGAACGCAACATGGCATGATGTCATGCTACTCTTGTTATGAATGTAAACCTGGGACATATCAGAATGAGAACCATGTCATCAAAAGCTGCAAACCCTGTAACACTTGTACAAATCAAAGAATTTTGAGAAATTGTTCTACAACAGAGAATTCTATCTGTGGAAACTGCTTGCCTGGGTAAGCAAATTTAGTTCTGGTTTTCATTTTTTTTTTATTCTTTGAAAATAATAAAAATGAGTTATCAATCTACATAGATATTAAAATTAAATTAGGACAAGTCAGTCTGTTCCCAGAATATACATTGGAAGTTTTTATTATTCTCTGAAGAACCAATTTTTAAGTATTTGTATCAAATTAATTTTTCAGTTGCAAAGATGTTTTCTTCATTATCTTTTCATTTTATTTATTTCTAAATGGAGCTAGAGAGAGAGAGAGAGAGAGAGAAAAAATACTTATGAAAAACTTTTTGAATTGTAGTTATTGACTCTTCTCCTACACCCCAAGGAAAGAAGTAAAAAAAAAATGGTATGTTGCATAGAGAACTATGACATTAGCACACATGACTTTTTATTTTTAGCAAGGAATTGATAATGAAATTTTAAGTTAAAACTTTATATACTCAGTAAATGTGTCAAACAGGAAAATCACCTGGTCCCCCAAAAAGTTCATATTCTGTGTACAGTTTGCCACAAAAAAAAAAAAAAGATAATTTCTGCTTAACATATGGTAACTTTTTTTATCCTCCCCAACTATCATGACCAATCAAAAAAATTTACCTCCTTAATAAAAGTTGTTGCTTTTCTTGACAAGGGAGGGTGCATATTTTGGTTCATTAGCAAGAGTAAGTTTATTATGTTGGATCTGTCAGTTTGATTTTTTTTAGCTTATTTTAGTTTGCCTCTTGGACTTTTGACATTGGATTTGTGATTTCTATACTATTCGTCTTTCCTGCTATTTCGGTTTGTGAGACTGGATTTGGACTTTTTCACTGTCTTTGTTGTTTTGGACATTTAGCAGATTCAGTACCAAGGTACTTATATATGTCCAACTAGTAACTGTTGGTACCCTGTCATGTTTTACATGCCAATTTATAACACTTTTTTCAGGTGGACATCAATCATGTATGTACTTGGTTGAGCATTATTCATATTAGTATGCTCACATTATTGAAGTGATCTTGTGTATCTTAGGAGATGCAGTTTGCATGTTCTAGGCCCCAATACTTGGGCAATCAGTAGGAATACAAGAATGGAAAGACTAACTGGAATTGTTGAGCCATGTTTATGTCTGGCTTAGATACTTTGTGCTAACTTAGCACTAATGCCCTTAAGGTTTTATGTTGGCTTGCCTTTTTGACTAAAAAGAACTAGTGAGTTTTTTAATTTTATTTTCTAGCTCAAATAAATGTTTTCTTTCTAAAGATGAAAAAAACTTTTGAGACTTTTGTTGGATGGTTGTCAACTAAACCACTCCATTTTGTTGAGTGAAAGGCAGGTAGTTAGCAACTAGTAATGCTGGTCCTCTTATATGGCAGTGAATGCTGAACAATATCCTCACAGATGATGAGACTTGAGGCAACAGAAATCTGGTTCTACAGAAGAATACTGAGAATACGATGAACTGAACATCTCAGTAGTGAGGAGGTTTGAAGGAAAACATTAATAAAAAGGAGACTTATACTTAGAATCAGAAAGAAACAGCTGAAATTTTCAGGACACATAATGAAGAAAATGGGTTTGGAAAATAGGACATTCACAGGACATATTAAAGGCAAAATGGCCAAGGAGAGTCAGTGAGCCACCTACCTGATGAGCTTACGTGAATGGATAGCAGAACAGGGAGTGAGAGGAATGATTAAAAGGTAAACATTAATGAGCTGCAAAAGGAGAGCCATAATTGTCCACATCCTGAATTGGTATCAGTGTCAGTCACACATGATCAGAAGCCAATGTGTAATTCTGATCAGGTGAAAGTGGAATATATTTAAAATGATGTCTTATAGACACTGTATCAAGTCTTTCACTAACGAACCTTGGTAAATTACGGTACCACCATTTCTTTTAGAATTACTTTTTCATTTTTATCATCAGGTAATTGAAATTTATGTCTAGTGGCTCTAAATACTAAATGAATATATTTGCTAATGTAGCATTTTAAATAGACAAACAATTTAGATTTAAAATGTGCTCATTTTTCCATCAATCTATAGGGAGTGATGGGTACCAAACTAGTTTGCTTATAGTTTTGAATAATCTTTTACCAATCTCGGTTTAGTTTGGGATGCAACATTGGGGTTTCTCTAGACTTCAATTCATCCCAATAATTTTCTCCTTGAATAAACATGTCCTTTTTTTTTTATTTAATTTTTTTTTCTTTAACAGTTAAATTAAGTTGATATCTACTCTTGCAGTTGATGAAAACTTTACATATTCATTTTGTTCAATGACAAACATAATGAGAGTAGTAACTGATTTCCAACCAGTATGAGGTGAATTAATTTTTACAGCTGTAAAAATAATTTTCCAATCATTAAAGGTGTGATGCAGTACTTTGAAACTGAAGTTTGTAAAATGTTAAATTGCTACTTACCACATGAAATATCTTAAATTTTATTGGCAAGCATTAGATTCCTTTTTTTTTTTCTTTTTTTTTTTTTTGTAAGTTGTGTTTTGGCATGAAGTTGTTAGAATGACAAAAGTGTTCATCTATGAAATTCAATGGCTTGATTCAATGTTTATTAAACACTTCACTGAGACATAATATTGAAATATGCCTTGTTATTTTCATTGCTGGTCATTGCAAGTATCCTGATTTGTATGATGTGTTCTTGCAATATCATTTTTGCAATGTGATTTACTACATGTTGTATTCTTAAGCTTTGATCATTGGCAAAAGTAACAACTTTTTTTTCACTGTCACCTACTTGTGTTAATCCAGGTTGCAGAAGAGGTAATTTAAATGAAATTATCATCCTAATCTGCAGACTTCTGTAAAAGTCAGTGTGTCTTCTATTATTAAAAGTTCATTTACTTGACAGAAGAAAAATTATGCTTCTGATGATGCTTCTTTTTTAAAAATGATGCTTCTTTTTTAATTCCAGCAGTTACATTCCTCTTCACTTGACTTCTCCAAGAAAGATTTCTGGAAACTTCTAGTGTACACTGAGTATTGTGACATTCAAGCGATATGCAGATATTCTTTCTTCATTTTATTCAATTGGTTGAATAAAACTACACTGAAATGCTCACTATTAATAAAATACCAATGGGGTTCTATATCCCCCCAAACTGTATATAGTGCTATGAAATAGAAACAATTTGGTCTATGATTAAGGTGTAAGTTGTTCATTTTCTATTGAAAAGTGTTTCTAATGATTAGTATTGCAAAAAGAGCTGAGGAAAGGGTGTGCATTTTCGAAGATGTTAAACCAATATTCAGGTCATTTTAAATATATGTTAAATTTACTTTTTTATAGCAAGCTTTATATAATTACTCACCTCCTTAACCCTTTAGTATTCAAAATGTTCAAACCTGGCTCTTAAAGTTTCATGGTTTGCTTGACTTCCTGTGTTATTTATGATAATGTCATCATATATTATGGCAGAGTATACATAAGGTAAGTTACAGTAGGTAGAACATTGAGAACCAATATTTCTGGGGCAGGTCGATTGCTAAATGGTTAAGGTAGAAAATTTTACAAACTGGTATTTGTAACTCTGAAGTTGGATTAGTTAAGTAATTAATAAGTAGTTTTCATTATGTTTAGTGTAAGACTGAAATGTGTATCCTCATACTACAGATCATCTCAAGTACTAGGGAATGAGTTTGACATAAAAGATAATAGACTGAAAGGTGGTCAGTGAGCAAAGTATGAAAGCAATAGAGATTGAATCAAAAAGCAAATGAAGAAAAGTTAGAAAAAAAGAGTAAAGGTAAGTAAGCTCAGAAAGGAACAATTTTAGAGTTGCCCAAATAGGGAAGGTTCACCAATATCTATAATTATTGTTGACAAAATTGAGAGATTGCAATGGAGACTGGAAAAGAATATCACATGTGATTCCTTTTTCAACTTAGAAGAATATTCATGTCTATATATGTTGTGTAGGAAACCTACCACCCCTCTTGAAGATGAACTTGTCTACAAACAAAGACGTTAAATAGTGGCATGTCAAAAGACAGACAGAGTTGGAGAAGTTCTTGGCTGAGTTAGTTATAGACTACTCAGGCAATTTCTGTACCTACTTACCAACCGAATAAACCCCTTTTTATTGTTACGTGTTATTTGGCGTTTGTCTTTATTAACCCCAAATCAACATCATAACAATATATAAGGAGATTTGTATATCTCTTTAAGTAGTTTGAGATAATTGCAACCACATGCTAGAAGATGGAAATTAAAAAAAGTTATAACACTTTAAGATTTCAATAAGAGCAAGCTGATGTTTCACTGATGCTCTTTTGAGCCACTGGAAATGTGTTTGGTATTATAGGCAGAAATCAGCATGTGCTTAAAGGAGAGTTTGTAAAAAGAGTTGACAATATTCATGAGGCATTCTGTCTCTTGTCTCTTAGGATGGCACATTAAAAAGGAGAATTGCTTTCATTCTTTGACCAAATTGCAAGCATCTAGGAACAAAAGAAATAGAAAATATAGAGACACACAGTTAATCTTAAAGATCATTCATACTGTTGTGATTTTCTTTCTTTGGTGCTCTGGACATGTATTTATGCACCAAATATTTTAATTATTTCACCCCATGCAAGGCGATAAATCCACTAAAACACTGGATTACTGAGAGTGAAAGAAACTGAGAAGACACTATTAAGGAGATATAAAAGAATGGTTTAAAAAGACAGAAAATGATGATGCATTTATATTTTTGAAGATTGTATTTGACAGTAAAACAAGGGGTCAGAAGAGTTTCATAGGAGAGGAGAGTAGAAAAGAAACTGTTAGAATAGAACTTTAGGTTTACATTTAGTAATTTTAACAGTATTAAACTTATTTAATAATAATATTCAACAGGATTAAATTTAGCTAAGTAAATGACCATAGACAAACACACGTTGAAAATTTCAGATGTAAACTACTCATAAATTAAAGGCTAGTTGTTTCCTGAAATTCCACAATATTAATATTCCATGAATTATTCTGACTTGGTTTTGTTTTTGTATCATGAAATTTTAGATGGTGGATCATTTCTTAAAAAATGAAGGTACATATTTTATTTTATTTTTTATTTATTTTTCTTTTGCATATAAGAAAATAGTAAACCAGCACACTGTTGACAGATGCTTTCAATCACAGGATTGAAAGATTAATAATATGAATATTGAATTTCTTTATATATTTTGTTCTAATACTTTAAAAGTAATGTTTTATTGTTTTCATTTTTCCAGACATCAAGTCAAATATATAAATGGATCAGATGTATGTGAAAAAATTGGTATGTTTCTTTTAAAGGCCTTATTTTCTTTAAGGTTTCCTCTATTATAGAGAAGAAAATTATGAATTCAATCTCTGGGTCAACATAGTCTGAGCGATTGTATAATAAAGAGAAATTGATGAGTTTTAGATACATTTGTGGAAATATTTGGATTAAATAATAAATATTCTGATCAATGTGATAGAAAAAAAATACAAAAAAGTAACTGAATGCTTGAGTGAGGTGGTTCTCATTCATATTGTCTTCATTTGAGAAATTTCCTTCATTTAATTCTCCAACACTTCAATATTTTATTCAATAAGGCAGTCTCCAGCCTCAATGCAGGCTTAGAAATAACTGAATGCCTGGGTGAGGTGGTTCCCATTTGTATTGGTCCTCAAATCCATGATGGTAGCCTTGATCAGGTCCTTGCTATTGTGGGGTTACTATTGGTCTGCTTCTCAATGTCACTCCAATAAGAGTTAGATGTCATGTGTTGGAGATGATATTATGAAAATTCACAGCCAATAATTTCTGGACCATGTGCTAGCCTCCTTAATTTCTGTTCACTATTTTTTTTTTAAATTTTTTATAAGTGTAATGATATTTGGCTTACTAGTCTGTGCTTGCAATCCTTTTTAAAAGTATTTGCATAATATTTAAAGCATGCTTAAACAGTCAAACTGTATACACAGTCATACTTATGTAACAAATGAATTTACAATCATATCTGGTGCATATAAGTTTGTGGATTATCTCCCCCCCCTCCCTACATAGCTTAACCAGTTTTGCCAGGAAGTCATCAGAGGGCACATAAGCAGAGATAAAAACAGGATATTTCTTATCCTCTCTCTCCCTTATCTCTTTTTTTCCTCCCAGCATGCTTTCGTGACAACACCTACATGACTTTGTTCATGGGAATGGAGATATCTTTCCCTTCGCTGACTGAACTTTATCACACACAAATACATGTATCACCAACACCTTTTATATTCCTAACTTTTAATATTTTCTTTTATATGCATACTATTTTCTATCTTTTTCCTAAGTTATATAAAAAAACATTGCCTTGTTGAAATTGTTTTCGATTTCCTTAAAGCCATCATTTACATGTGCAAAATATTGTTGCTACTGCTTTTAGTCTGAACTAATGAATTACAAATAGTGCACACAACATTTGATAAAAATCATAGAACTATTTATATCATACATAAAATTCCATTTAAATAACTCAAAGTATTGGAACAAAGCATAAGTCACATATATTATATTTTTTTCTCTTTCAAATATATTGATTTTTATTTTTGCTTTAATTGCAGAAAACTCCACTGGAATAGCATACAAGATTTCCACATTTGTTTTGTGTTCTCTCCTTTTACTAGGTATGTTCTGGTTTTCTAAATAAATATTTTAATATTTCTCAATCAATAAAAAGAGCATCCTTGTTAAAGATTGGGTGGTAGATGATTAAATCACTTAAACCAAACATATATCATAGAAGGGAAAAGTAAGTGTTTGTTTATATTTTGTAAATTGATGAATATTAATGGTTGATAACACAAAGTATTAAGATGAAACTCAGACACAAGGCCTTAAATTTCATGGGATCTTGCTGCAAAATTAACAACAGTTTAATAATTGTTATGCAATGAAATAAAAACAATTGATTTCTTGCTTTGTTCATAGTATACAATTCTCTCCCAGTATTTATTTATTCATATGGAAGAAAATCCTTCAAGTGACTGGGTATGTTGTGGTCCTTTGGAATCATCGAGATGGCTTAACCTTATTAGATCTTCCTTGTGTTTTTTCCTCCTGGTTCTGAGTTTGGATGCTTTGACCTGACACACTTTTGTGTACTTTGACACTCAGACTGTTCACCTTCTGAATGAGAAGATTTAGTAGTAGAGTGAGCCTCTTTCTGAGGTACCGACTACTTGTTAGAGCTAGAGTCGTGCCATGAGGATCCTGGACTGGAAAGCTCTAGGTAATCCTTTTGAGGGGACCAGGGAGAACTGTCAGTGGCATCTTCACTTGATGTATCGGGAGCAGGTACCACAAGTAATTCTTGTGCAGTTACAGTACTTGCTTCCTTTCCTACTGTGGCCAGATCTCTTAGGGAACCAGTATCTCCCATCTGGATAGCGTATTGGGGGTTTGTCTCTGTTAGCTTTACTTTATCCGTAAGCAAATGGTGCTTGTCTAACACTTTCGCCCCAGCCTCTCAACCTCCGACGTCTTACTCTCTAGGTTGAAGTGTCTACTCGGTCTTAACCGAACTTAAGGGAGTGACCATAGGTCCCCTGAGCATCCGTAGATCATTCGGCCGGTTCACTGGTTTAATTTTGCTTCCTGCCCACATTGTGTTTGGTTTGATCCAGAAAGCAGAAGTGATATTCATCCATTCACGGTCGACTGAAGATGTAGACACAGCTGGAGAGTCTGTGCTAAGAAATTTAGAATGAACCAAAAAAATATATATATCTGCAGAAAACTGGACAAACAACTATTCAACAATGGTTGAATTGTTAATGTCTTTTATATAGCAGAAAAAAATAGTACAGAAAAGAAACAGGTTACAGAAAAGAAAAGTAATTGACGTAAAAACTCATACACTGGATTCTAGACAGTTGTGATTAGCTTGTTGTGAAATCATCTTGGAATGATATCCGACTCTTGATTATTGTAGCTTGTTCGATGTTTCCATTTCCAGTGGTAGTAATAATAGTAGCAGTAGCAGTCTTAGATTGTTGGAGGAGTAATTCACTTCTTCGTACTTGTATCAACAAAATATGTTAGTGGGCATTTGGTTCCAATCTCTGACATCAGTTCCAATCTCTGACCTCTCTCCACCCAGCTCGACTGCACTCGATGGCAGCTGAGCCAAACACTCTTCATTCTGTGCACGTTTATATAGATAAACCTGGCTGATCACAAATCGACCCTTGGTCCGCACGCGATTATCACGAGTATCACTGTCAACCCAAAACCATGTGAGTTTCAAAGTTCTCCCTAGCAGAGTAAGCCCTATTTCAAATTTTAACCGATAAAAATTATTTCAATCATCCGTATTGTCTTTGTAATGACCCAATTCCAAATGGGCAAGATCAGATTTCCATCAGTAAACAAAATTGTTCTGATCTAATTTCGCTGTTCAAATCTACTCCGATTTCAATAAAAAAAAAAATATATGTGTGTTTGTTGTGTGTGTGTTTCCCAACTCTCTTCTGTCACACTTGCTCTGGCAAGCATGACATCTCAATAACACAGTCCCAGGTTGTGAAAGCCACAATGAGAGGGAAGTGCCCTTAGAGCTTTGTCATGGAAAAGAGAAGAACCTTTGATGTGAAGTGGCATTAGTTACAGTACACAGTAACATTCTAGTAGCATATAGAGCCTCAGGGAGGAGACTTTCCCAGCAGTCTATCAAGAGCCTATGGTTAGTAGCAGGCAACTGCATTGACATCCATATTATGCTGTTGTACCTTTCACATTGGCCATTACTGTGTTATCCTACTTGTGGCTATCCCTTATTCTCGCAAGAATTGCTTGATGCAATCTGACATAAATGTAGTCCCCAGTCAGAGTGGATGTAAGCAGTAATCCGAAGACTGGAAAAAAAGAGTAGTTTTCACTGTCATATCTGGGCAGAGAATAGCAAATGGAAAACAAGAGCATTCATTGATAATTGTCAGTAGGTAGTTATTCCTTGTTTTCAATGGAAGTAGTAAAATTCAGATCAAGTCTTTCAAAAGGTTAAGTGGCTTTTAAAACCATTCCAGTTCTAGGTTTGTAGAACCTAGGTTTGCGCTCCAACACATATTTGATAGATCTTCACACATCCCCTTCACATCTTCAATTGAGGATAGGAAAGTTTCTAACTTGAACCATGTGACACAGTTCCATATGTAGTTTAAGGAGATCATCTCTACATGTGGTTGAGCCACACAGCCTTAAGAGCACATCAACCACAGCATTGTCATTGTTGGAGCAATAAGTTATGTAAAATGAGAAGCAAGAAAGCTCTATACTCCACCGCAACCAATTTCTGGTACATGATTAGTTTGACATGACAACTGATTAGATAGTGTCCACTTTCTAAGTGACTCAATAATAGTGTATGCTTCTTTTTCAACCGCCAAGTGTTGCTACTCATACCATTAGAGAATTCTTAAAAAGAATGCTATGGGTCATCCAGATTGTTTTAACAAGGTAGCTGTGTTGCAGTCTGACATGTCAGTCTCAACTACCAGGAGTGCAGAAGGGTTGATAGTTCTGACAGTGGCTTCAGCAATGTCCTTTTTAGATCTTCAAACACTCTGATGGTGTGAGGAGACAAGAGGAATTTGGAAATCATTGTTAATGGATGTACTTAGTGTGGGTAATGTGCAAACATCCCAAGTGCTTGTCAAAGAGAGGATAAATTACTTGGGATCAACAAATTAAGAAGTGGTCTTAGTCAATCTGGATCTGGCTTCATGATACCTTTACTAACAGTATATCTGAGTAATTTAATAACATTTTGCCTAAAGAAACATTTATCATAGTTTAGTGTTATATTTTTCTACTACTGCTATAAATTGCTTAAGATTCCTATCATAGTCAGGCTGGTCATGGCTGATAATACTTATAGACACTAGCACATACATACATTGTTAAATAATATAACTTGTTGGGTTTTCCATCTCAACATTGCTCCAAGAAGTTTTCAAAGATTTTTCACCAATGACTGTACACTTTTTCAGCATTCAGTGAATTTGGATCTGTGGTTAGTTTGTCTGGGCAGAGTATGTGTTCCATCATTAAAAGAGGAAATTAGTCAAATAAATTGTAATATAATAAGTAGAAGCTTTATTTGACTAATTCATCTTTAGTTCTGAAAACGTTTTATTTTATAGTAATGGGTGGTTACACACACCAGTTCATGTTAATGTAATTGTTTGAAAGACAAAATCAGCATATTGAATTTGAATTTTTTTACAACTACATATGTCACATTCATTTTATTAACCCTGTGAAAAATATGAATGAATGTTTTGTCCAATCCCAAGGCATCTTGACTCTGGTAATGTCATTGAAAGAGATGAGAATAGAAAATGTATATTCTTTATAATTACCTTATAATTAGTTGTTATAAGCATTGCCTGACAGCCTATCTATTTCTTTGTTTTGCTAATATATAAAATATTAGAATTGTATAGATTATCAGACTGAATTGCTTTTTATTGCTAGGAGGATTTGCATGTCAAGAATTAGTTTATTAAGTAATCTATGTTGTTACTTTTGTTCACCAAGAATCATTATCATTTCAGCTATTTTATATATCATTTACCTCAACCTCAAGAGAAAGAAAATTATTGAAAAAAGTGAGTTATAATTTTTTGGGGATTCACATCATTGGATCCTTTTTCTAAATTAATTCTATGTATGTGCAATAGAAAAGATTAAAGAAGTAAATCCTGATTTTTGCCTTTCACCCATTAATATGGCATAAATTTTCATCTCCTTTACTCATATAACTACAAAGGTAGAAATCCCTGCAGTGAATAGGGTATTCTGACATGTGACCAAATGGTTTAAGTTATATTAAATATTTCAATACATGCCTATATATTGTGTTTAACGAAAGAGAACTCTTGTCTCTTAACTTTAGAAAAGTTATTAACTTTGACCATCTTTAGACCAATGATAGCTTCCAGTATCAACCATTCTGTAAACAATGAGAAACATGACCAAATCTCATATCAAACATAATTCCTCAAATCATATGTCAAGTAAAAGTATGGAATGATTCCACTTGAAAATATTTTGATAAGAAATCAGTAACTTGTAAAATATCTGATTATATTTTTGAAAACTATACAAAATATTTACCTTTTAAGAGTACATCCTTTTGCATAATCAGTTTTCTTGTTGGAAATATTGACCACTTATGAATGACTAATTTTGCATACTATTTTTATTTCTCTCTCTTAGAGATGGAAAAAAGATCTCTAAAGTGAAATTTAAATTATTTTAACAAAGTAAAAGGAGAGTCCTTTGATTCTTTGGTATAGAATAATTCCATAATAAAATACAATTTAGGTGAGATTGAATTTAGCCTGTCATGTTATATAGTTCACATATAAATAAGTGAAGAGATCTTTTTGCTACTTCCATATATTCCAAGATATATCATAACAAAAACATCTGTATCTGTCTATATTTCTGAGATGAGGTATTATGTACACTATTTACATTATTTGGACTATTGTCCTCATCTTTGTTGCCATATTTATCACAACGTTTCATTGTATGTTGGAATGTCAAACTGAACCCTTTATTTCGCTCGCTGGGGTAGACTGTTCTAGTTCTACGTGCCATGTCTAATGGATGCCAGTTATCATTTATCTCCTATTAATTCTCTTCTCCAAGTTCTCTACCACCTTAACCTGGTATTGAACTCACACTCTTTCGGACCTGGATCTAACTAATGCCTTTATCCATTGTGCCATGTGTCCTTGAGGACATCTGTGTATGAATTTCTGGGTATTATAAACCTAATGTCTTCAGCAACTAGTTTTTATCAGTGCTCATATTGCAATTTTTGCTGTTATCATTGCATATTTTTTACCAGAACTCATAGTGCAATTTTCGTTGTTATTATCACTTTTCTCTGGCACTCCTTATTACTGATTCCCATATTGTATTCATTTCTATGCTTGGTTGGCTCAGGAGATTTTTGTGACCCAGCATATGTGCTGATTCCTTAAGTTTACAAATTTTCCAATGATGTTCTTTGTCTATGATTTCAACCTGATCCCACAGATGGCAGTGATCTCCCTTTGCTTTCCATATGTGGTCAGCCACGCCTGATTTTTCCACTTCCCCTTGTGTTACTGCTTTCTGATGTTCTTGAAGCCTTACCATAAGTGGGCAGCCTGTTTCCCCCTTTATATTTCTTTCCAATGAAAATGGAACACAAACTGTCACAAATTAAAACAAGAATCACTTCGCACCTAAGATGTATAGGCAGTTGTCACAACATTACACCAAGCTACCTCACATATAAGGTCTCCCTAAGATTCACATAGACAGTATTCCGCTCAGGCTGATTGTTAGTTGCCAAAACTCTGTGTGCCACCCTCTGAGTTGCTTCCTTGTACATATAATTGACCCATTGATCTGAAAGTCACCTTCATTTGTTTGAAGATCTGCCCACTTCATGGAAATAATCAAAGATGCCCCCATCCTATCCAACCAGATGGTGAGCTTGGATGGGGTGAGTTTGTTCACCAAGGTACCCATGAAGGAGGCACTCTCAGTAATCAGAGACAGATTGGCCTCTGACTCATCCCTAGAAGAACAGACCAGTATTCTAATGGATAATCTGATGGAGATGTTGACTTTCTGTATACAAACAACACATTTTGGAATGGGATCACACATATATCGGCAAGATGAGGGCTTGGCAATGGACTTACCATTATCACTAGCAATGGCAAATATATACATGGAATATTTTGAGGAAATGGCATGAGAATCTATATCTCCAAAGCCAACTCTATGATTAGGGCACGTGGATGACACCTTCATACCCTGGCCACACCAGGAAGATGTTCAGGTTCTACTGGACCATGTGAACTCAATAAGACCTTCGATACAGTTCACGATGGAGAAAGAGAGTAACAACACACTCCTATTCCTGGATGTTCTAATATCTCAAACAGAGCATGGGTTTAAGACATCCGTATACCGTAAACCGACACTCACCGGACAGTACCTTAATTTCAACTCTCACCATCCATACAGCGTAAAGAAAGGGATTGTCCATTGCTTACAACACCGAGCAAAAGTCACAAGTGGCGACCCAGAGACATTAGATAAAGAATTGCTCAGTATAAGTAGTACCCTACAATGCAACAACAACTCTGGGTACATGGCAGCAGCCGCAATAAACTGAGTTAGGCATGTAAAAGTGGAGGACAACAACACTCAAAAAACAGTCTGCCTGCCTTATGTGAAGGGGTTATCAGAGAAAATACAAAGGATCTGTTGTCCATATAACATCAGGACAACCTTCAAAAGCTGGACGACACTTCGCAGATATCTCTCCCACGTAAGACCCCCCACCCCCCGCCATAGAGAAGAACATGACAGAAGTCTGTGTGTACACCATCCCGTGCAGCTGCAGAAAGAAATATAAAGGGGAGAGAGGCCGCTGCCTTAAGGTAAGGCTTCACGAACACCAGAAAGCAGTAACATGAGGGAAAGTGGAAAAATGAGGCATGGTTGACCACATATGGATAGAAAAGGGAGATCACCGCCCTCTTTGGGATCAGGTTGAAATCATAGACAGAGAACAGTGAGTGAAATAAAGGTTTCAGTTCGACATTCCAACCACCTGAAGAAGGTCGGAGCAAAACATTATGATAAATATGGCAACAAAGACAAGGACAATAGTCCAAATAATGTAAATAGTGATCATAACATCTATAATGTATCTGATTGCATTGTATAATAGTTTTAAACATTTAATAAACTCTTCTGCAAATCAAATGTGATATACTATATCTTCTCAAAAGATTATATTAGTTTTTCAAATTCATCTTATCTTTTTTCTTAAGCACTATCTCTAAGGATTCTCCAAATAAAAGATAAATAAGAGATAAATATTTAATGAATTTTAAAGATATAAAATTCAATTTCCATTTTAAAAATATTTTTCTTTCATTTCCACAATAAATACTGATAACAAGTTTATGATATCTTGCCTATTTCAGTTTGTCCAAACAAGTTCAAATGGGAGACCTGCTTAGAGCCAGAAAAAAATGTTAAGAACCATGGACAAAGAATATTTTCAGGTAAGCTGATCATGTGTATAGGTAAAGCTGGGTATACCAGCCTTAATGGAAACATATCAACAGATGAAGAGAAATATGGGAGAAAAAAAAATATTCATCAATGTTTAACCTTCATGCCCGTAAAGCCAATGCATCAGAAGGAAAAGATATTCCTTTGACAATGCTTTTACTGTATACACTTTTGACTTCTGCAGATTTCTTTCCAGATTTTTATCAACTGGTAATTAATGCACCTTCACCAGACAATTTCACAATCCAACTGTGGGATTCATTGCTATAAAGCAACAACCCATACTTTCTCTTCAGTTTGGACTATTGATGGCTTTGGTTGATGAAGTTACCTTTCTTCCATTTTGAAGTTTTCCGGGATATAAGCTCTTTCCTTAATGGCCATTTTTGTCCATCTTCACACATTTTTCTAATTACTTTGCTTCACACTTTTCTGATTGGTTTGTTTTGTTTTACGGCATATCAACCTCAATGGGTTATTTAATACCAACATCACCTATAGATACTTTGAGCCACTGACACAATTGATGACTACTGTTTACATAGCTCAGATTTATTTTTCTATTTGCCTTGTGAAAGGAATCTTTTCCTATTCAAGTGTAATTAGCTTGAGTTCAAAGTAAATTTGCACTCCTATTTCTGTTAATATTAATGAATACTGCATAAAATTTTTCACATGTTCCAATTTTTTTCTTTTACTTTGAACAGCAATTAACTCCTGCACAATATTTCCATTTACTTTTTATGGGCTGTGTCCTTTCAGGGTGTTGGAAATCATAACTTCCCACAACTGCCGGTGTAATACTATGGACACCAACATAGAAAGAGAAGAGGTGGTTTTATCTTGATCTCAAGTGTTTCTGTTTGATAGACCAGCAAATGCTTCCTTTTGAAGTTTTGTCTTCTAAGAGGCAGGGGGAAGTAAAGGGATTTTGGGAGAACAACTGACAACAAATCTGGAAGTAGGCTATATCCTGGTGCTGGTCTATATTAAAAGTTATACTTGGTATCTCAAAGACTGCTGGTCCATCCTGGGCGAGGAAACAGCCATGTCTACCACATTGTTCTGAAGCCTCCATTTTGTATTGCCAGCTACTATGTTAGGATAAGTAAATGGGCAAGGATTGGTAGGAGGAAGAGCTGACATAGCAGAAGTTGTCATAAGTATCACCTACCTAATCATCTGGGTGATCAAGTTAGGCTTGGATAAAACATTTACATATAATATAGGAAACAGGATTTATTTCTCAACCTGATTTTCTGTTATCCTGTTACCTTGTGAGCATGCATCATGCCCTTTCTCAGCTTTCAATGAACACTGACAAGATTGAGGATTGAAATGCAATGTGCTGTAATTATTGACTGGTCTGTGGAAAGCTGGGCAAGGGTAGCATTGTATGTTTACATGTATATTCTGTTACTCTAAGTAATTTTAATTTTTGATCCATTACCACCTCTCTCTCTCTCTCTCTCTCTCATCTATTCGCATAAACTTTAGTATGTTACTCACTGTTTTTACCTGCTTTTCTTACTTTCAGTATGTCATGTGAGTATTAGATTCTCCAAGCCATTTTCCTCATTATGTTTTCCAAAATTTCAACTCTTTCTAATTGTGTATATAAGTTTCCTTGTAGTTTCATTTTTTTCTTTAAAACTTCATCTTTCCATCATAGATTTTGCCCTTGGTAATCTCTGCATTTGTTGGTAGAACCTACATCTCTGTCACTTCAAGTCACTTTTTTATCTGTGAAGAGATTGTCCAGTATTCACTACCATATAGGAAGTTAAATATGACTGTTGGTTTTGTTTTTGTTTTTTTTTGTAATGAAATTTTAGTATTTTTTAATGACTTTGTTTAGTTTCTAGAAGTCATTTTTCACTATTCCTATGCACCTTCAGATATTTGTATCATATTTTCCATCTTTGATATATTGCTTATACCTTGGACTGTCTCTTTTGTGGACAGCCATGCATTTTATTCTACATTATGCAAGAATTTTTTCAGTTTTTCTTCTGAGTTTGCCATCAACACAGTGATATCTGCTCAGTTTTTGTTGCTCAAATTATATCTGCTGATAATCCTGGTCAGTTTTTTAGTTCTCTTAGGATTGTCTAATTGTATAGGTTAAATAAATCCACTGAGAAAATGCATCATTGTCTTACTCCTTTTTCTATTTATGTATATTTTTTAACTTGTTCTCTAACTTCATGTGAGCTATTTGTTCCCTGTAAAGATGGTTTCCTTCTATTCAACAGACTTTTCTCAAAACAATTTTGATGTACAATATCTTCTCAGAAGCATATCAGATAATTTTACTTGTTTTCAAACAAACAGGCTTTAATTTTTTTGTTGGTATTTTTCTGTTGACTAGATATAGTGGTGTTCAGGGACCCGGCCTGTCATGGCCACCAGATATGGTAGCGTTCAGGGTCAAATCCTGGTCTCAGCAACAGTTATAGCAGCATGGCAGGGACCGTGGCCTGCTTGCTTTGGTCAGGATCGATCCTGGTATCAGAGAACAAGCCATCAGCCCACTCGTCGGTCATTGATGGTGTTTGGCACAGCAGCTGGTCTTTAAGTTGACCTCTTCAACTATGACCTCTCTTACCCACATTTTGATTTTGATCTTAAGAAAGTCAAGCTCAATTATCACTGTGGTATCTCAACCATGCTAAACCAAGGAGTTGAACATGCACACACAACTGGACAAAAAATTCAGGTAACTTCTTTAAGGGTGGCCAAACTTGACAACTGGATTTATCTTCAAGTACTGTGATTTGTACTTTCTAGAACAGCACAAGGTTTATCGTCAGATTCTTTTTTCAGCAACAACTGGTTTTAATTCCAAGTACTGTTGTTTGTACTTTCACAGACGGCACAAGAATTTCATCTGAGTTTTTCTTCAGCAGATAATTATTATTATTCTTATCATTAGGTTGGCAAAACAGCGTTATGTCAGAAATCTCTTAACTCCCGATTGCAACTTCAGACCACAACCTCAACTCCAACTAACCCCAACTGCAACTGCCTCTGACTGTAACTCATTTCATATGCCTCCGACTGCAACTCACTCCAATTGTCTCCGACTGACTTTGGCCTCCGTGGGCACTTGTATTTATCGGGGTCCCTTCCAACTGGTGTGGTGTGGGCAAATAGGTGGGTTTTATGGAAATCTCCCAAAATTCAACCATTCTCTTTCTTTCGTTTTCTATTTCACACTTCCAATTTTGGAAGATCCCCTCATCTTTCGGTAGGAGCCATTATATGATGTCAGCCTTCCTGACGTCATCTTCTGCTTTTAATTTTTCTCAGGGAAATTTTGGCTGACAATTTTCCCATTGACGCCTTTCAGCAGACGACCTTAACTTCTGGCCCCCGACCTGCCAGCTGTGTAACTTTTTCAACAAAATTCACACATCTGTTCCCATATTCTGGGAAAATAAGTCTTTCTGACAAAAAATAAAATCGTTTTGTTTAACCCTTTTCATCTGTATGCCATGTTAAATATTGTTACAACTTCTTGTAGAAACTCATCAGTGTTTTCAGTTGCCATTTATTGTCTCATAGCTAGGAGGTGATGTGCAAAGATGATATTTTTTTTATAAAATACTTGTCCATGTAGTACAGTCTGATATAAGATTGTAAATAGTGGCAGATAAATACTTTACAAGGCAATGCAATTTATTTGGGTATTTGTCTTAGCATTCATTGATAAAATTTTCAAATGTGATTTTCCAGTGCCAGTATTCCCTTTCAGCATCTGTGGTGTTTGGATTTATGTTTAGTCTATCTGGGCACAAAATGCGCTCCATCTTGAGAGAGATAATGTTTGATAAATTGTGATGAATTAACAGCAGCAAGAATTACCACAAAATAGCAGCTTTATTAAACATTACAGTCATACTCTTATTATTACTACTGTAACATGCCAGTTGTAAGACTACCGTTAGAGGGGAATAATCTGGGAGAGTTTATCATAACTCTAATTCGATCAAAACTAGATTATGTTAGCATCATATACAGTTCGCCAAGAAAATCCTGTTTAAAATTCCTTGATTCTACCATCCATGGATGATTAAAACTGGTTATTGGGGCTTTTAAAACCTTAGCAGTTGAATGCATATATGCAGAAGCTGATGAAACTTTTCTTAACCTTAGATGTGAAAAACTGGTGCAACACTTATAAAAAACTAAAATCTTGTTCATCTAGCACTTCCTAGAAAAATACATTCATCCCACAACACATAAACCTCTATTAGCAAAAAGGGAAAACTATAAACTATGTACTTCTAATGGAACACCTTATTAAGAAATCAAAAATACAACTGGCAACAATCCATGATAATATCATTCCTAACATTGCTCCTTGGACTATACAATCTCCAAAAATATTGGACATATACAAATTCCAAAAAACAAATATGCATCCTCTTAACTTTCAGAAAGAATTCAAAAGGATTAGATTCAAAAGTATCCCAGACACATGCTCATGGGTTCAAACATAAGAATATAACAAGATGTGCAACAATATCCCAGAATAAAATAAGCAGTAAATGCCTCTCAGATGAAACCTCTATCTTCAATGCTGAAACCTGTGCCTTAGATCTAGCATTCAGCATTATTTTAACAAATGAAAACAAAAATATGTAATCGTTTATGATTCACTATCAATTTTAACAACACTGAAAAACAAAAAACTTGACAACCCATTAATAGTCATGTTGCTAAATAAACTGTATCTGTGTCGATTGATGTTGTGATGTGTTGGATCCCAATTCACGTTGGAATAATTTGAAACGACAAAACTGACACAGCTGCTAAACCTGCTGAAAATATAGAAATTGCTCTGAACTTTAAGATTCATTATAGAAACCTGAAGAGCCAAATAAAAAGGTTTTTTAAACAAAAATGGCCAATAATATTGGAGTAACAGCACACCAAATAAATTGATGCAAACCAAGCCAATACTTGAAGAATGAAAGCCAGGATATAGAAAATCCTGAAAAGAAGAGGTAGTATTGGCCCACTTGCACATTGATCATACTTACTGAAAGAGGAAGAACAACCAATATGCCAAACTGAATACACTATAAAATATGTTTTGAATGAGTGTACAGCTCTTACTCCATCTCAGAAAACATACTTCAATATAAACAACATAAAGGAGCTCTTTGAAAGGACAAGGAAGGATGATATATAATTTCTCAAAAGAGTGAGTTTATATCAAAAAATATAAACCTAACAGTTAAAAAAAAAAACCCTGATATCTAAACCAAACGAAGTAGTTGATACCATATGATGGATAAAAAAGCTGAAACTATAAGAGTGAAAAAAAAAGAAAAAAGATAAATAAATTAATTATTAAATAAATAGTTGATGCCATATGATTGAAAGGAAAAGTTGATTTAAATTTTATGAGATATAAAAATGTCTTGGCTTTAAATGACCCATGAGTGGTTAATAAGATGTGAAACAAAACAACCAACCACTAACCATTAACTAGTTGCCATCAACTTGAAAAGACAAATATCCCATCAGAAAATAGTTGTTATAATTTAATCAGGATCTCCTTGATATGAGTAAGGAAAGCCAACAGAATACTCACTTGACTTTTCAACAGAGGTGAATGCTAACAAACACTAGCTTATATATATATAAAAATACCAAATTACTATAAATTAGAGATGGGACTTTTAATCTCAAAATTCATGGGTGAATTGAGCTTCACTTTCACATTTATTCATATAGATTCTGTAATATAGATTTTACTTAATTAGCTATTATGTTTCTCTAACTCTTCAAATGTTGAATGTATAACTAATTCTCATTTCTATTTTCTTATCTTTACACTATATTAATTTTATCTTATAAATTGTCTCCTGTTATGTCACCTATTAAATAAAAATAATTGTTTGTATGGAAAATAAGGATCTATATACATCAAATCATCCGTAGCTATTGTGATGAATGCCAAATCAAGAGTCCTCCACAGGAGCTAGCTTAAATGCCACCTGATAGGGGCGACTTTTAAGCTAGCTGCCATTTTGGATACAAAAGTAAAAATAACAGTTACTTCCCTTGAACCATGAAAGCAATTATAATGGCTAGTATAATATATTTTTAACCTTGTATAATCTGGCAACCCTGAATCTGATTTCAATGAAAATTGTTTCCTGCTCCTAACTTTTCTAGGGTTTTCATTGAAATCAGACCAGTGGGAGAAGAGGAGTTGCTTGGACACACACACACTGTACTTATATATATATATATATATATATATAGTTCCTTTGGATATTATATATTTGTTCAGCAACCTTTCTTTTATACATGTTTCATTGAATGTTTGGTTATCTTATCAGTTTTTATTAAATTTTTCTAAGGTTCTTACAGTTTTCTTTTTTTAAAAACTAAGGGTATGCAGAAAATGTGCATATTATTGATACAAAATAAAATAATCAAAATCAATGCCCAACTGTTATTAAAAAAAAAACAGAAAAAAATGTGTCTTAAAATATGTTCCACTAAATGGACATTGCAAAGTTAAGAGATGAGTGAAACAAATCAACGTATCTAATCCAAATTTAACAGTTACTGCAGTGAACACATTCAGTTTTCAAGAACCATACAGGTGAAACATGTATAAAAAAAATAAGCTGGTCATGATTAGCTTCTGATAGGATCATGACCTTTGCTTTTATCAATCAAATCCTCTTTCTATTTAATCTAGAAATTTACCATCCACTTGGAATGGGATTTGAATTGTATTTAAAATTTCTCAGTGAAATAAAATCCTATTCATGCTTTCAATTATTTCTTCTTTTTTTTTTTTTTAGTAAACAAGGAGAAATTTGAAGTCGTGGATGATTCAACCTTTGCTCGAAATATTGGCAAGGATTGGAAATATGTAGCCCGTTGCCTCAATTATACAGAACCGGAAATTCAGGAAATTGAACAAAATGAAAAACAACTCAAAGATTGTGCACATTGTATGATAAGAGATTATAGGCAGAAATTCAAACGACAAAATGATGAAGCTCTTATCAAAGCTTTGATGGAAATAAAACAATATAACCTGTTGAAACCAAAAGAAGCTAATTCTGAAGCGGAACCTAGTGAAACTGATCCACTTCATTGTTAAATATAAAAAAAATACCGACTCTTAACTCAATAGAGCATGTATCTCATCTCCTGAAGAGGAGACCGGAGAAAGAAACCCCCAAAATAAACAAGAACTGAAAGAGACTGCGTTAAAAGTTTGGAAAAGCATCACAGATGATGAAGAATGTAACAGTATGGTGATGTCAATGGGTGGCAGGCCTGATGCAGTAATTATGCAACCAATTATTTACTTTAAGACTATCTGTTCCTTTACTTTTGCTCACCTAAAAATGGGGTGATCTGATACAAAAGGTGTTATGTCCTAAGCTAACACATCTAAATGTAAATATCAGGAAATAAAAGCTGAAATTCTGAACTCTCTTGTCTCATATTCATCTTTTGATCTTAAACTCAAATGTCTTTAGCAAACAACAACAGAAAAAAAAAAAAAAAAAAGGAATTGGCCCTGCCGTCCAAATACTTTTGGAGGGGGACTGTATATGACAAAGTGGAAAAGTTTCATGTGAGTTGTTTCATCCTTTAGGACTTCATCGGATATTTCCCCTTATATATATGTGTGTGTGTGTAGCGGTAATGACAGTCTAAATCAACCCGTACATTTTTTATGAATGTGTAAGCAAACGAAAAGCAACAAGAGAAAGAACACAAAAAATAACTTTTTATGACAAGAAGAATATTTATATTTTATGTATGTCAATGATATACATGAATAATTAATAGGAGTTACTTCCCTTTGACTGGAATTAAAGTTTTTACTAATGAAATATATTTTATCTGAGTCCATAAAAAGTTGAATAAAATTGCCGCTCAAAATGTTCATTGTGAGAGAGTTAAAAGAATTCTGTAAAGCTGAAAATATGTTGATAAACTTTTAGGTTGAAGGAGTGAATGTTCCGTAATGTTTAGTTTCCGTTGCTTATAGTTGAATATTCGTAAATTAAGTTTCCGTAAGAAGATTCAATAGTGTGATTGAATAATTTTTAGTAAGTTCCAGAAGAAGTTGCTGAGTGAGTGGTCTGGTTGAATGTTTTAACTTGAATTACAGTGAAGTTATTTCATGATGAAGAACTTAAAATTCTTACTTTGTACTTCACTGCATTAATGATACAAGCATCGTGAACTACTTTAGCAAATGCTAGTCGTTCGTAAATTCTCACTGGCGAGGCTCACTCATACATTATATATTTTCTAGTCACGTGCCAGGATCCGAAAAGCATTTCTGATTTTGGGCGGAAAATGTATTTTCGTCAGGTCAGGAACTAGGTCGATGTTATTCGGACGTAGTTGAGAACGTGATTTTGATATTGACTGACCAATGAGAAGTTATGAAAATATCAAGGTTCTGTGATCCACTTTTTGTACAGAATTGCACAAAAATTGACATTGATTTAAAAAAGTGGTAGTAGAATGAAGAAAAAAAACTTTCAATATGTATGATGCTTCGCAAATTTTGTAGGCCAGTGCACATGTCTGCCTGCTCTTGTCGTAGTTTTTTTACGAGGAGTTTCAGGTTTCTACTGGGAGGAAGTATTTTGATCAAGCAAGGTCGAAGAGTGCTTATTAGCATCAATGAAAGCATATTTCAACCTGTAAATGCTGACAGTCATTCTCTTATTGTTGATCAAGATGGTAAAATATTTCGGTGCACGGGAGATAACTTGGGGGGACCGGAGTATATCGGTGTGAGAGGTTTTCTAACTGCATCTCTGTGTAAAAATACAAACTCACTGTTTTCCAAAGTTCTCGAAACGAAAATTGTTCTGTGTCGTGCGCGTTGGAGCAAATATGAGGTTAGACATGTGTTCTTTCAAGTCCTGAATGAAGTATGTAGATAGTCTTGTCGACACATCTTTTTCCATTATTTGACTGGGGAATGTAAGTGAGTTCCCAAAAGCAAGCTCAGTTGTGGTGCATTTTAAACCTTCCTTGACAACACTACGCAGTGCTAGCATTACTAGTGGTAATCTCTCAATCCACGATCGTGTGTCTTCGCTTGCTGTAAGTGCTGCTTTCAGTTGCCTGTGAAACCTTTTTAAGGATGGTAAGCCGTGGTTGTTATATGTTTGGTGCCAAACAGGTTAGTAAATTCAATGAAAAGTGTAGACTGGAATTGGGGTCCACGATCCGTGGTGATGACAGACGGGCATCCAAATGTGGCTATCCACTCACGTAGGATCGTTTGTGCGATGACATTCGCGGTGGTTGATCGCAGGGGTACCACCACTGGGCAACGGTCCACTATTGTCAACAAATATTCGTATCCGTCTACTTCCGCTAAAGGACTGACGAGGTCGATGTGAATATGTTTAAATCGACCATCCAGTGCAGAAAAGTAATCAAAAAGAGATCTGGTGTGTTGATGAACTTTTCGACTCCTGGCATTTGATACATGTCTGCGTCCAGCGTTTTATATCTGCAGACATGTTTGGCCAGACAAATCACTTAGAAATAAGTTTAGTTGACGCTTTACACACTGGATGAGACAGAGAATGAAAGTGGTTGAAAATTTGTCTGCGCATAGTAGGAGGTACATCACAAAATAAGTACGCCGCGCTGAAAGGAATTGGTCGTTTTTACTTTTTTTCTGTGTCTACGTTGTCGTGATTCAGGAGGAGTTCGATCAGTAAAGCTGCATTTCATTTCTGTTGTCGCACAGACCTCTAAATATCTTGTATCTGAATAGTAAGTTGTGCTAATCTGTTACTAAGTTTACGCATGTTGTCTGCGTCAACCACCGATGCTACCGTCTCTGGGTCGCAGCATACACAGAACTAGCTGACTGGTTATTAGCTATTTTATCAGCTATTTCAGCTAGTTTTTGTAATTCACTTTCGTCTGGGAGGGAAGCTATAATTTGGATGGTGTTCACGTGAAGCTTGTCCAACTAAAGCTGTCTTAACACTGTTAGACATTGTGTAGCTTCCTAATAGTACTCGCATTTTACGCAGCAGTTGTGACAGTTAGCTTTGTCTCGGGCTTAAGTTATTAAAGAGATCACGCAGCTTTTGTTCCTCATATTGACCAATTCTATGGAGAATAGCTTCTTTCAGGGTATCATAATGGATGGCATCTCATCCAGGAGATTGGAAACCTTAATCGCTATCTCCGCCGGTAGATCCTCTACAACGTAGGCATACCGGGAAGTTTGTGAAATTATCCTCTTGGCGTTGAATAAAGCGCTTAACTGTGCAAACCAAATTTGTACATTGACACTGTTGTAAGCTGGCAAATTCAGTTATTGCAGCCTCTCTGTGCATCATCTGCTCAGCCATACTGTTAATATCTCCTAGACGTGGAGTTGGGTACCAGTTAAGTTGGGTTTAACAATATGTAACAGAGAGAGAGAGAGAGAGAGAGAGAGAGAGAGAGAGAGATCCCACCAGGTGGGTTTATTAATCAACTGTTCTAAAGGATTGGGAAGAAGCTACTAATTAGTTGGGTAGAAGGGATTCCGGAGTAATTCCAGAAATAAGTTTTTCTTTTTACTTAGTTGTTTCTGGGATTGAATTATTAATTAACTAGGTGAATTAATTCTAGAGTAATTAATGGGCGGGTTCGTTAGGTAAAGCTTGTGATAAATGGTGAATTGGATTTTGGGTGGTCTGCTGGGACCTCAGACAAGATAAGTGCTTTTCGCCGGGCTTAAGTGGACGTTGTCTGCGGAAAACACAGCAGGGAGTTCGAATCCGATTTTAGTACCTCTTGAAAACTGGGTTCCCGCGGAGATTCGGAGATCCGGCAGAAAACACATGGTGGTCCAGGCGATTTCCATATTAAAATTCGTGGGCGGTGCCTAAAAAGAACAGATCGGATAGGATCGGAGAACGCGAGAGAAGCGGCAGAGAGAGAGAGAGAGAGAGCAGACCAGGGACCGCAGATCAGAGATCGCAGATCAGAGAACGCGAAGGAAAACGCGGCGGAAACGGCTTAGTGGGGCTTGCTGATCTGTTGGTTGCATGCGTCAAAAAGTCCGAATCGTACCAAGAGATAGAAATCGAACCCGTGCGAATCCAGATAACTTCGTCAACAAAGCTGAGAAAAGCCGACTGCTATATCGGAGGGGGCGGACGAAGAACCACGACTTATCTCCCTTAGTACAGCCGAATTTTGACCGGCATAATTGTGTCTTTCACTCTCTGTGACGTTCCGACCCAAACGAGTGAATCTCGTTAAGACAGTTTGTATTCGTGCAATTTCTTTGGTAGTGATATAAAAACAGTAGCCTTAAAATGGCTCTTTGTACAAAAACAGTAAGTATTGCTTACTTTTTCTTTGTGTCCTTGCGGTTACGACAAGAGCCTCTCTGCACAAATAGCGATTTCTTTCAGCGTAGAGCCCAGCCATTTAATTCATCCTACCTCCGGATCGTTCTGAGGGATCAAAATACTGCTGTTCTGATCAAAAATTCATAACGTGGCGAATAGTGGTGGTTCCTTCAGTTCACCGGAGGAGGACCGGGTGGTTTACTTTTCGGCCAGAACTACAGGAGAGAGCTGTAGCCGGCAGGGCTTCTACGTCAGAATTGGTGCCTTGGGCCAGGATTCCGACCCGTAAATTTACCAAGGACGCAGAGGGAGAGGAGCGGGCTCAGATATCACAGATGACCAGGGAAAAATGGTAGTCCCCGAAATTTACGATGAGGTTCCGCAGACTGATCGGAGGCACGAGACTGCCCTCGTTTAGGGGCCACCCAACGGAGCTGCAGGAATGGATACTCTCGATCCAAAAGAAACAAGTCATATATGTCTTGTCAGAACAGGAGATGGTATGGGCTATTGTGCTAGACGTGTAAATACGCTGGACACAGGGCCCGGGATTGTCCAACCAATTAGGGAGGAGACCTTAGGTCTCTAGGACTCAATTGTACGACATGTGGCGAATACGGGCACAAGGCTCGGTGGTGTACGGCGGCAGGGGACCAAAATTAGGTATCAAGCGGACTAATGCACTGTTACCACCCACCAGGAAAGCAAAGAGCCCGGGAAACGCCGCTGGGTCACCCGTGAAGGAGTAGGGGGCAGGGTGGCCCCAGTCCGAGCAAGACCTCTGAAATTTTGGACGTGTGGAGTGGTTGGTCATTTTTCAGCCGATTGTAAGCGAAGAAGATGCTGGCATTGTGGGGGCGCAGGCCACATGAAGTGAATTTACCCCCACAAGGGAAGGAATCCCCCAAGATGAACCTGTCGGGATAAAAATGAACAGAGGGGTAGAGCGGAAAGGCGCTATCATCCAAACCCCATCCCGGCCAGTGGGGCCCCCAGACGAGAAATGGGACCTCGAAGAGATTAGGAACCCCCGTTGCTGGCCACCGCCTCTCCGTGGTCCGGAGGTGGGAGGCGAATAGAAAGGAATTTGGGAATGGAAGGAAGGCCTGAGTGTACCATTTGCTAAAAGAGGGGCCAGATTTCACCTGCAATGTCTTGCTGGGAGGCAAGATGGTTAGGACCCTGGTTGATACTGGAGCATCAGTATCACTGGTTAGTTCGACAGTTAGGGAGAACGGAAAAGTTGAGGCCAGTAGATTTATCCATAAGCCAGGGCGATAGCAGCAGAATATGAATAGAGGGTATGACATGGCTGTCATTTCAATTAGCAAGGACTAGAGGTGTCATAAATGTATATGTAGCGCCTGACTTGTTGATTCTGGGGAGTGACTGGCTTAAACAGCATAAGGCCCAGATCCGTTTCGACCCAGCCACCCTGACCTTGGACGGGGTAGAGGTACTGCTAGGGGAAGACAATTATGAGCAGCTACCTGTAGTAGCTCAGGCAGATATAAAGTTACCCCCTAGAACCACTGTATCTGGGGAAGGCAAAATTATAGTAGAGGGAGCCCTGAATGACGGGTTGTATCAGGAGAAGTGACAGTATGTAGTTCACTAGTGAAAGGATCAAGGACCGTACCCCTGCTTCTGCCTAATTCGTCTAATAAAACCATCAGAATAAAGCGAGGAGAAGAGTTAGCACGGCTTGCCCCGTAAGAGAAGTCGAACAGGTGAGGATAAGAAACGAAAATAGGTCCGGGAACAAGACAGAGATTAGCGAATTGAGGGACGAGGACATAACAGTCCCTGAATGTTATAGAAGAGAATTAAGGGGTTTGCTAAGTAGAAACCGGGGGGTAATAGAAATGACAGATAAGGAGCCAGGACAGACAGAGACAGTGGAGATGAGGATAGACACCGGTGACCACCCACCTATCAAATTAAGGCCATATAGAACCCCAATTCACAAAAGGAAATTAGTAGAGGAGGCAGTGAATGAGATGATGGACTCGGGGATAATTGAGAGATCCAAATCTCCCTGGAGCTTCCCTATATTGATAGTGGAAAAGAAAGATGGAGGGCACAGGTTTGTGTGGATTTTCGCCAGCTGAACGCGATTACAAAACCACTAGCAGTGCCTCTCCCCTTGATTGATGACATTTTGACTCTCCTATGGAAATCTAAGTGTTTTTCCACCTTGGATTTGAGATCGGCCCTGAACAAGGAGGACCAAGAAAAGACCACATTCACCTGTCACATGGGTCTTTTCAATTTTAGGGTTATGCCGTTTGGGTTGGCAAATGCCCCGGGTGTGTTTAGTCAGCTCATGCCCATAGTGTTGAATGGCATGGAGACGTTTGCCATGGCATATCTAGATGATATCATGGTATTTTCAAAATCACCTGAGGAGCATTTTGAACACCTGCAGCGGGTGTTCGACCGCCTAAGGAGGCATGGCTTGAAGCTGAAGCTGTCAAAATGTCAGTTTCTAAGAGAGGAGACAAAATACCTCGGGTTCATGATAAATAAAGACGGAATAAAGACCGACCTAGGCAAGGTAGAGGTAATAAGGGCCATGTCCGCGCCGAAAACTGTAAGGGAGATTAGGGGATTTATAGGAACCATAGGATGTTATAGGAGGTTCATACCCGCATTTAGTCTGTTGGCGGGTCCTCTGATAGCCCTGACGAAGAAATACGCCAGGTTTAGGTGGACGAAGGATTGCCAGCGTGTATTTGAGGCTTTAAAGGACCAGCTGATTGTTGTGCCCTTGTTAGCGTACCCAGACTTAGGTAAGCCCATGGTGCTGTACACTGATGCTAGTGATAGGTGCATCGGAGCAGTACTCACGCAACCCTGTCCCAATAAGGATGGACCCGTGCCGGGAGTGCTTGAAGAGGTGACAATCTATTTCCTTTCTCATCGGCTTTCCGAGACCCAACAAAGATGACCGGTGATAGAGAAGGAGGCCTTCGGCATCCTGTACGCTGTGCAGAAGTTGGACTATTATCTAAGTGGGGCAGTATTTATCATTAAGACAGACCACCAGCCCCTCAAATACCTGCTAGAGGCAGAGTGGACGAACAAAAAGATCCAACAGGAGGCACTGAAGCTAAGTGGGTACAACTGTAAAATAGAGTACCAAGCCGGGAGGGATAACACCTGTTCTGATTTGCTATCGAGGATACCGAAACAGTTGGAAACGGAGTCCATCAAGTTAGAGCCAGGTGTAGACGATAAGGCCTTCCAGATTAATGTAATTAACTCACACGGGTTAGAAGGGTGACCTAATTGGGAAGATCAGGAGGCGGGTGAAACAGAGACCATTACGGATCCCCACTGGATAGATATTGTTAGACAAAGTCAAGGGGATAGTGACATAACAGCCATTAGGTCTAGGGTAAAGGCAGGAAATACCTCTAAATATGTATTGCAGGATGATGTATTGTATTACCTTTCAGGGAAAGATGAGGAGGTAAGCTTGAAGATGATGATACCCGAAAAGTTGAGGTCTGAGATCTTAGATCAGTGTCATAGAAAGATGGGACACATGGGGATTGACAAGACGTATGGGTTGATAATGAGGAACTACTATTGGCCCAAGTTGTTTAATGATGTTGTTATTATGTAAAGAAATGTGTAACGTGCCAAGTACAGAGTAGAGGAAGTAGGGCTGCCCCGGTTTTAGAGACAGATATTCCCCACTACCAGTTCCAGAAAATGAGTTTAGACATTTCAGGCCCTTATGGGCCGACTGATAGAGGGAATTGTTACATATTAAGTTTTGTGGATTGGCTGACAGGTTGGCCTGAAGCGTTTGCTATACCTGATAAGAAGGCACGAATGGTGTCAGATATAATACTTGGCGAGATATTTCCCAGGTATGGGGCTCCCGAACAGTTGGTTACGGATAACGGTTCGGAAAATGTAAATCAGGTTATGAGGGAGACGTTGGGAGAACTGAATATTCAACACATAACCACCTCCCCATACCATCCCCAGAGTAACGCTAAGGTGGAGAGATTCCATAAGACTCTTGCTGATGTGTTGGCTAAATTAGCAGAGCATAATAGGGAGAATTGGGATCTGTTTTTAACCGAAGCCTTAGCATCTGTGAGATTCTCGGTGAACGAAACGACTACGTTCTCCCCTTATTATTTGGTATAAACCGGGACGTGGTCTTACCCATAGACAACCTATTAAAGCCTAGGAGGAGATACCTAGGGAAGGACCATCATAGGATAGTTTTAGAGCAGCAGCACAAAATCTTTACACAGGTGAGGAGAAGAATTCGAAGAGCCCAGAAAAAGCGAAGTGATAGGATAAATAAGAATAGAGAAGAGGTTTCTTTCCAAATAGGTGACACGGTGTATTATAAAATACACCTGAGGGACGGTAAACTGGACCAGAGGTGGAGCCCCTATTATAGAATAGTGGAACAGACAGGCCCGGTGTCCTTTGTGATATGGGATCAACTGACAGGGAAAGTGAAAAGAGTACACGCAAATGAATAAAGTTAGCTGAGATAGAAGACTGGAAAGGGAGCGGCATAAAGATGAAACAGAAAAAACTGAGGAGGACCACACTAGTGAAACCAGAACCACTAGGAAGTGATAGTGAAGCTAGCGAGGAGGTCGAAATTAGTCCCACTACCCTTCAGAGGCTAAGGCAGGTAACTCGACCCCCAGTTGGACACCCTGAGGAAGAGAATATTAAACCTAGTGATAGCGGAGAAGACGAATCACGCAATTGGGATCCTGACGACGAGATTCCGCTAGCTCAATTACGTAATCAATGGCAGACCGAACAAGCGCCTGATAATGAGAAGGAGTTGCCATTGAGGTTGCGATTGCGAAGAGCAACGCTTTAGAGCAGACTGATTAAATAAAAAATCTGTGCAGGGGTTGTGTTAGACGAGTGACAGTCTGGGGTCGATCGTGCAGTTGTCATCGGCGTTACGCAGGCCGCGTAGAAGGGCCCCTGCGCGGACTCGGCGCTGGTGGTGGTGTTGGTTGGTCCTGGGGTGTGTCACTCCACAATGCAGCCGTCTGACAGAAAATATAAATAGATAATTACGTAAGATAGACTGTTCTCTCCCTCTTTTTCAGACATAGACGAGGGAAGGCCCTGGGCGCTGGTGATGCTGATTTTGGCTGATAATGCCTGGGAGCACAGTGAAAATACCGTGTTTAAGAAGACGAGCGAGGTGATCATGACTAGATCAAAGTGGTTAATCACGTTAGTGATAGATTTACAGTCATATGAATTGCTACTGACCCAGTTAAGGATCGAGGTAGATACGTTAGAGACAGCCAGGACACAAGTCGCCAGAGAGTATTCACAAGGTTTAAACTACCACCGGGTGTTATACTCCTTAACTCAGGAGTCCCTAATACTTGAGAGGCAATGGAAGGAGATGAGCGATTATTTAAAGGGAATTAAGTTGTTGAGAACTAGACGAAAGATGGCAGTGTTACCTATAATAGGTAAGGCATTAGTTGTGTTATTTGGCACGGTGTCTGAAGATGAGATAAGGTTGATCAAGAGGAAGCTGACGCAGGTAGAGCAGAGGCAGCAATCGATGGCCGAGGTAGTTAAGGAAAGCGTATCAATACTTAATGTTACTAGATTAGAAGTGGCTAAGAACAGAGAGAGTATTAATTGGTTAATTGCCTACCTACATGATCTTAGGCAAGAGCTGGAGAATGTAACCACAACTATAACAACTGAGTACCAGGAACTGGAGGGTTTCTTGCTAAAGCATCTCCAGTTGTTAGCTATATAGGGTGCGCCAAACCAGTCATACGTTAACAGTGCTGCTAGAACACGTGAGAGCACAGTTGGATATGCTGTCTATGGGACACCTATCCCCGAGTATAAGAACCCCAGAATGACTAAGGGCGGTACTGCTGGAAATACAGTCCAAATTCCCCATCATCTTGGTTTGCCGGTGGACCCCACTCAACAATTATGGAAGTATTATAGTGCCTTGGGATGTGTTACCCTGTTAGAAAGAAGTAAATTGCTAGTACTAGTGTCAGTTCCCCTATTAAACCGAGACAGCACTTTCGAAGTTTACCAGGTATTAAATCTGCCTCTTCCTTACCCCAAACCAACCCCAAGAGTAGAGGCAGTGGCTAGGTACAAAGTAGAGACAGAATTCCTCGCTCTAAACATAGCCAGGGTAAAATTTATGTTACTGACAAGGGAAGAAGCACAGAGGTTCGAGAATAATGCTCTGGGCACTTGTGCGTCTGCAAGTCCCATTAAGTCCTGTTAAGGTATCCATGAATTGTGTGTGATAGACTTATTTAGAAAAAATAAGAAGGGAATTAGAGACGATTGCCAGATATAAATACTGACTGGTGTAATGTTACCTGCAGCTGTTAGCATTGCAGACGGGATCTGGGCAGTGGCCACTCAGGGTGAAATGGAGCTCTCAAAGGTCTGCGAGAATGAGGTGACAACGACAATGAGAGTTATCCCCCCTTGACCATTTTAGCTTTACCCCTTGGCTGTGGTGCACACGGGCTGACCCTGTCCCTACCCCCCTACTATCAAACAGAAGAGAGGTTCGAAGGGAATGACGCGTTGTTGAAATTGGAAGGATCAAATGAAACTGGATGGGCTGAATTATGGGATCCAATTACGAAAGAGTTCCCTCAGTTTTCGTTAAGGAAAATGCCGGGGTTACTGAAACCTGTTGATAAGATTGATTTCGGGCGACTGAAGTTAGAATTAACTAGGCAAGGCTCGGACTGGAGAGAGAAAATGGTTACCATAGTAACCTAGCCAACTGTTGTGGAGATTATATTAATTATAAGTATGGTTTCTTTGAGTTGGTGGTGGTGGAAAAAGAGACAAGTGAGAATGTCGAGTGTGGAAGTCGAACTGGCAGAAAGTGGAAGTGCGGAGCGTACTGGGAACCCAATTGGTGCGCCTTACCAAGACCGGCTCGACCGAGATGCATTAGAACCTGCAGCCGATGTGGGAGAACAGCCCACATCTGCTGTGAGAGAACTGGAAACCATAAAAAGTCTAACGAGGCCTGTTGTGAAGACTTGGACCAGTCGTAAGACAAGGTTGTGAAAAAAAATAAAAGGGAATAACTAAGTAAAATATGTAGTTGAAAAAAAAAAATGAGTGTTTAATTTAAAAAAAAAAAAAAGAGTGTTTAATTTTCAAAAGGAAAAAAATCTATATAGATACAATACATATGTACATGAATGAAGAGATAAGTGAGTTGGTGAAGATATGGGAGCATCCCAAGTAGTGAACTGGATGAAAATACCAACAGTTGTGAGATCAATGAGAACATATATTCTTATCGTAGCCGAACTTATTTTTATTTTATTTTTTTTTTTTTTTTTTTGCATGTGAAAATCTGAACAATAAACCTTATTCAGTGAAAGCACGACAATGTGCTTTATAAAGACGCTCTGAAAAGAAACAGAAAAGGGCTCAGAACACTATATCACGACTTCGTATTTTCTTGTCTTTTCTTGTTCGTGATTTTATTTCTAGATTTGTTCGCAGTTGAAGTCAGACCGGATTGCCGGAGGACTATGAACTCCCGGGAAGGACAGCTGAACGACCCTGTTTCTATTGTTGTTTTATTTTGTGTGACGCCTCATGTGTCATTAAATAGTAAATGACAGATGGGCAGGGGAGGAATTGTAACAGAGAAAGAGAGCCCCCCCCACACACACACACACCAGGTGGGTTTATTAATCAACGGTTCTAAAGGATTGGGAAAAAGGTACTAATTAGTTGGGTAGAAGGGATTCCGGAGTAATTCCAGAAATAAGTTTTTCTTTTTTATTTCTGGGATTGAATTATTAATTAATTAAGTGAATTAATTCCAAAGTAATTAATGGACGGCTTCGTTAGGTAAAGCTGGTGATAAATGGTGAATTGGATTTTGGGTGGTCTGCCGGGCGAAATCCATCCAGAGCCCTCAGACGAGATAAGTGCTTTTCGCCGGGCTTAAGTGAACCTTGTCTGCGGAAAACACAGCATGGGGTCCGAATCCGATTTTAGTACCTCTTGAAAACTGGGTTCCCGCGGAGCTTCGGAGATCCGGCAGAAAACACATGGTGGTCCAGGCGATTTCCATATTAAAATTCGTGGGCGGTGCCTAAAAAGAACAGATCGGATAGGATCGGAGAACGCGAGAGAACGGCAGAGAGAAAAAGAGAGAGAGAGCAAAGCAGGGAGGAATTCGAGAGACCTCTTGAAAAGTTCAGAGAGAGAGAAAACACATGGTGGTCCAGGCGATTTCATATTAAAATTCGTGGGGACCAAAAAGAACAGATCGGATAGAGATCGGAGAATCGAGAGAACGCAGAGAGAGAAAAAGAGAGAGCGAGAGGAAACCGGCAGAGATCGCAGGGAAGGAAAACGCGGCGGAATCTGTTAGTGGGGTTGCTGATGCATGCGTCAAAAAGTCCGAATCGTACCAAGAGATAGAAATCGAACCCGTGCGAATCCAGATAACTTCGTCAACAAAGCTGAGAAAAGCCGACTGCTATATCGGAGGGGGCGGACGAAGAACCACGACTTATCTCCCTTAGTACAGCCGAATTTCGACCGGCATAATTGTGTCTTTCTTTGTCTATGACGTTCCGACACAAACGAGTGAATCTCGTTAAGACAGTTTGTATTCGTGCAATTTCTTTGGTAGTGAAATAAAAACAGTAGCCTTAAAAGGGCTCTTTGTACAAAAACAGAGAGTATTGCTTTTTTTTTTCTCTTTGTGCCCTTGCGGTTACGACAAGAGCCTCTCTGCACAAATAGCGATTTCTTTCAGCGTGGAGCCCAGCTATTTATTTCATCCTACCTCCGGATCGTTCTAAGGGATCGAAATACTGCTGTTCGGATCAAAATTTCACAACGTGGCGAATAGTGGTGGTTCCTTCAGTTCACCGGAGGAGGACCGGGTGGTTTACTTTTCGGCCAGAACTACCAGAGAGACAGGAGAGAGCTGTAGCTGGCAGGGCTTCTACGTCAGAATATGTGGTGATTTAAATTTTTAAACGTCGGTACAAACGTCAAAGTTGCCAACTTGAAATCTGAGTAATTCTTAAAATATCGGTGTTATTGTGTAGCGTGCTGATCTATCTTTAATATTCTTTCATACGTCGATAGGTAATTCCAAAGAGAAATTTTTTAAAAAATTGTGGGAGGGGGGCATTAGTATTAAACTTTGATGTGACCAAATTACAACCATCGTGTTTACCAACTTTCAAACGACGGGGTTATCAATTCTCCAACGTTGGGTGCTAATTGCCAATTTTCAAACGTTGGGATCATAAATTTGTGCAGGAAAGACAAAAAAAAATGCATCTACAATGTTTGTGCCCATTCGGTCATTGTCGAAGTTGTAGTCGAATGGCGTTTTCGCGACTGATTCTGACTTATTCTCTTATTAAATATCATTCAATATTTTGCCACGCACATTTGTATTCGGGGTCACCATTAATGTAGCGGTATTGACAACCGGTACATTTTTTACGAATGTGTCAGCAAACGAAAAGCAACAAGAGAAAGAGCACAAAAATAACTTTTTATAACAAGAAGAATATTTATATTTTATGTATGTCAATGATATACATGAATAATTAATAGGGGTTTCTTCCTTTTGACTGGAATTAAAGTCTTTACTAATGAAATATATTTTATCTGAGTCCATAAAAAGTTGAATGAACATGCCGCTCAAAATGTTCACTGTGAGAGAGTTGAAAGAATTCTTGATAGCTGAAAATATGTTGATAAACTTTTAGTTTCAGAAGAGTTGAAGGAGTGAATGTTCCGTAATGTTTAATTAGTTTCCGTTGCTTATAGTTGAATATTCGTAAATGTAATGTTTGTAATTAAGTTTCCGTAAGAAGATTCAATAGTGTGATTGAATAATTTTTAGTAAGTTCCAGAAGAAGTTGCTGAGTGAGTGGTCTAGTTGAATGTTTTAACTTGAATTACAGTGAAGTTATTTCATGATGAAGAACTTAAAATTCTTACTTTGTACTTCACTGCATTAATGATACAAGCATCGTGAACTAGTTTAGCAAATGCTAGTCGTTTGTAAATTCTCACTGGCGAGGCTCACTCGTACATTATATGTTTTCTAGTCACGTGACAGGATCCGAAAAGCATTTCTGATTTTGGGCGGAAAATGTATTTTCGTCAGGTCAGGAACTAGGTCGATGTTATTGGGACGTAGTTGAGAACGTGATTTTGATATTGACTGACCAATGAGAAGTTATGAAAATATCAAGATGCTGTGATCCACTTTTTGTACAGAATTGCACAAAAATTGACATTGATAAAAAAAAAAAAAAGTGGCAGCAGAATGCTAAATATATATACTTTAAAAATCAAGAGATCAGTTGAATCCGCTACCTAGCATTACGGAATCGTCAGGCGAATTTTATCAAATGAACTCTTAAAGCTTTATTTTTTTTTTTTAATAAAGAAACACGCGACATTGGGTTTAAGAGATAGAGGGAGGAGGATGTGAAGAAAGAAGGAGAAGAAAAAGAAGAGGGAAGAGAAGAACAGCAAGTGTATTGTAAAAGTATTGGTGGGGATTGAATTGTATTTTTTTTTTATCCAACCTCATATATGCTTAAGAGAAATTTTTAAAAATGTATGCAAGAACTCAAGATCCGGAAATGTCATAATTGCTAATTTTTCCTGTTGACAGAGGTTGCAAATATTGTTGTGGTTGTTATAAGGCTTCGCATTTATATATATATATATATATATATATATATATATATATATATATATATATATATAGGGGGTATACGTAATTAAAATACAGTTTTAAAAAATAAAAATATAGTACATATACAGGAAAAGAGAAAAAAATATCTCGAACAGAGTATGGGTTCAAGACATCCGTATACCGTAAACCGACATTCACCGGACAGTACCTCAATTTCAACGCCCCAAATCCATACAGCGTAAAGAAAGGGATTGTCCGTTGCTTACAACACCGAGCAAAAGTCATAAGTGGCGACCCAGAGACGTTAGATAAAGAATTGCTCAGTGTAAGTAGCACCCTACAACATAACAACTACCCTGGGTACATAGCAACAGTCCCAAAAAACTGGGATATGCGTGTAGAAGAGGAGGACAACACTAAAAAAACAGTCTGCCTGCCTTAAGTGAAGGGGTTATCAGAGAAAATACAAAGAAATTGCGGTTCATATAACATCAGGACTACCGTCAAAAGCTGGACGACACTTCGCAGATATCTCTCCCGAGTAAGACTCCCCCATTGAGGAGAACACGATTAAAGACTGTGTACGCTATCCTATGCAGCTGCGGAAAGAAATATAAAAGGAGACAGGCCGCCCCCTTAAGGTAAGGCTTCAAGAAAACCAGAAAGCTGTAACACGAGAGGAAGTAGAAAAATCAGGCGTGGCTGACCACATATGGAGAGAAAAGTGAGATCACCGCCCTCTGTGGGATCAGGCTGAGATCATAGACAAAGAACACCATTGGAAAATTCGTAAACTTAAGGAATCAGAACATATGCTAGGCCACAAAAATCTCCTGAGCCGACCAAGCATAGAAATGAATACAATCTGGAAACCAGTAATAAGGATTGCCAAAGAAAAGCGATGATAACACCAAAAATTGTAATATGAGCTCCGGTAAAAACATGATATGATAACAGCAAAAATTGCAATATGAGCACTGGTTAAAAATGGTTGCTGATGACATTAGGTTTATAATACTCAGAAATTCATACACAGATGTCCCCAAGGACACATGGTACACTGGATAAAGGCGTTAGTTAGATCCAGTGACAGGACCCAAAGAGTGTGAGTTCAATACCTGGTTAGAGAACTTGGAGAGGGAATTAAGCAGGATAAGATAACTGATAACTGACACGTAGAATTCGAACGTGAGCAAAATAAAGGCCGGAGAGTACAACGGCCGAAACGTTGTAATAAATATGGCGACAAAGATGAGGACAATAGTTCGAATAATGTAATGTACATATAGACTGTGCATATATGATTGTTATTTATACTGCTGCTGTGAATCTGAAGTTATAATTGTAATACAGCCCACTTTGCACAGAGCCAACAGCAATAATGGAGTCCCCCATGAAAGAAAGTTTGCCCACCTCTGGACTAATAAGAACACGGGACTAGATTTGCTATTTTCATGGCAAATGTTCAGACATGGTTGATTCCATAGTACCACTAGTTTAGAGCTTCAAATTTAAAACCTGCAATGACACATACACAAGGACGACTCATCTTCATTGACTTCATATTCCGTTTGTAAGTAAGAACTGTTACTTTGTGGAAAAAACTCACGAGATGATGCTTCCCTGATCACTACAATCTTACTTCGAGAAACAATCATTATCTATCCTACTTCTAATACCTAATACTTCCTCCCTTTACGTCCTTACACCAATCTCAATCAGTAACCCTCTACTTTGAGTGGCTCTTAGGAATTGTATCAATTGAAAAAAATAATGTTTATTCAACTCTGAACTTTATCAGCAAGTGTGTGTGTGGCCTTCAGTGTTTGCTCCAAATAGGGATTCTTCTTATCGAGTGGAGCAATTTTACACTTTTTCTTTTGTATTTTAAACGATCAGACGTTATTTTTATTTTTAGATTAATGAACCAATATGGACTCCCTTAGCAATTAAAATAATCACGTGATATTTATTTTTTATATCAATTCACTAATCAGCATCCGCAAAATCTCAATATTTCCAACATTGATTTGGAGTCTTCTGGTGCACAAAATTTGAGACCTCATAAAATCGCATAAATAAATTTATTTTTAATAATTAATAAAACAGATTATGCGGATCTATTACGCACGAACATACATACATACATACAAAAATAGAAATCACATACAACGCCAAGCATTCATTGGTTAATAAACATTAACGTTATTGGCAATTTACAAATCGCAGTAATGCGACAATTTTGTAATCGCTCTATTTTTAACTAGTCCATTTTGTGCGCTTTTGTGAGAAACGGATCACAGAAGTTTTCTTGAGTCTCCACAAATCTCGCTCTCTCTGATTGGTCGATGCCAACCAATCAGATCGTTTGCACGTGAAGAATAATTCTTCCCTTGCAGCGAGCCTACAGTCACTTATTTAAGCAAGAGTTTTCTAATCCTAATTAGTGAGATTTCAACTGCCAAACGAATCCACGACAGTTGAAACCATGCGCTAACTTTTTCACTCATACACACACCACTCACATGCTGAATATACCTTGTACACACTCACATAAACTCTTCTTACACAGCAATATCTTTCAAGAACAATCATTACAAGAAACTCTCATGAACATTCTTCCAGTGAACTTTGGGACACTAAAATAACAGTTAAAGAGAGACAACTCTTGGTTAATTCGACCTTTTCTTACTTAAATGCATGCTTTCTTTCACATCGTTGTTTGATATTGTACAACTTGTTAAATACATATTTTATGTGTAACAATGTCTTTTGGTTATCATTTTTTGCGTCAGCCCTGTTTGTTAATTTAAAGTTAAATTAATGTGGTGAAGTCCGCCACATTTGATTGGTGACCCTGACGTGATTAGGAAAAGTCCGACGTGATTAGGAAGACCCCGACGTGATTAGAAAAACTACATTTTGGTTGGTATTCATTGGTGACTATGCCGTTGTAAGAGGAGTCCATTATTCAAAGAAGACACCAATATTTCACTGCTACCTCATTTTGAAACACAAAATTTCGCCAGTGAACCTAGTAATAGAATTGTGAGAAACATCCCGAAATCAGCATATCAATTTGGCGCGCAAAATTTTTTCGTCACCACGTGCGAATATTCACGCAACTCAACATGACAGTCCCAGACAGTGACGGAGCTGCAGGGCTGGTCGACCTTCCCGTCTTCAACACAATGAACGTTCACGTTTGGTTCTCGCAACTGAGCGCAATATTTCCCTGTGCTTACAAGACCTTTCATTTGTACGGAGTCCGTCAAACACAACACTGTACATCGGATTCAGACATCCGGATCTCCTGTTTTCTCATCTTCACGTAGATTAAGCCCGGATAAATACAAACTAGCGAAGGCTGAAATTTCAGCACGTTAGACCATGGCATTGTACGAACGTCATCCAGCCCCTTCGCTTTCCAACTCCACATGGTGCCTAAGACACAGTCGGGAGCGTGGAGACCCTGTGGAGATTTTCGACGTCTTAACGCACAGACTGTGCCTGATAAATACTCTGTGCCAAACCTAGCAGGTATTGCAGTAACACTTCAAGGCGCTCAAATATTTATGAAAATTGACCTAAGGAAGGCATTTTACCAAATTCCGGTAGCTCCGGAGGACGTTCATAAAACTGCAGTAACTACACCCTTCGGCTTCTACGAGTTTTTGCGGATACCCTTCAGACTACGGAACGCTGCGCTATCTTTCCAGCGGCTAATCGATGAAGTCCTTCGCGGATTACCACATTCATTCGCCTACATCGACGAACTTCTTATAGCTAGCAAAGATATGAACGAACACATAGGTCATGTAACTCAAGTTTTCGAGCGACTCAACCACTTTGGTCTTAAAATTAACCCCGATCAATGTGTATTCGCAGTACCCAGGCTAGTCTTTCTCGGGCATGAGATAGACGGTACTGGCATTACACCCGTCGCCGATAAAAAGCAGTACAGGATTTTTCACTGCCGACAACGCTTCGACAGCTTCACAGATTCTTAGGAATAATCAATTACTACTGTCAGTTTATCCCTAAATGTTCACACATGCTGACACCCCTGATAAATCAACTCCGTAACCAGGGGAACGCAACGCCAAAATTACACTCAATGGTGAAGCTCTCACTGCATACAATGAAGCCAAGGACACCATAGCGAATTTCACCAAGCTTACTTATCTTCAAAAACACGATAAAACACACCTATCACTTACGTTTCTTCAGAAGCAATCGGAGCTATATTACATCAGCATACAGAGGAGGTAACTAAGCCACTTTCATTTTTCTCTGTAAAACTTAGTCCCCCGCAAAAAAATACAGTACTTTTTCGCGTGAGCTGTTAATTATTTATACAGCCATCAAACACTTTCGCTATCGCTTAGAGGGACGCAATTTCACCATTTTCACGGATCACAAACCCCTTATTTTTGCTTTATATGCTAAGAGCGACAAATATAACTCCCGTGATTACCGACATCTGGACTATATTTCCCAATTCATGACGGATATTCGATACATAAAGGGGAATCATAATAGTACTGTAGCAGACTCGCTGTCGCGCGTTACTATAATCAATGCATCAAACAAACAACCACCAGATTTCGATACGTTAGCCGACGAGCAACAGAGGGACGACACTCTGTCGGACCTAAAAGAAGATACATCTTTACGATTTGAGCCACGTCCTTCAGCAACAGGCATTTACTATGCGACACCAGTACAGGTCACCTCCAACCTTTGGTTCCTTCCTCCATGAGAAGGCAGATATTCGATCATTCCAGTCACTATCGCATCCTGGACGGCGGATTACAACGAAGTTAATAGGTGAACGTTTCGTATGGCCTAGAATGAGTTCCGACATTAAACGCTGGGCCCAAAGTTGTGCCAGATGCCAGCGAACTAAGGTACACGTTAACTCACCACCGGGACTATTCGCAGAACCTGATGGCCGCTTTCAGCATCTTCATGTGGACTTGATGGGTCCATTATCCGAAATTCACGACTATCAATACATCTTAACGATAACTGACAGATTTACTCGTTGGCCAGTAGTCATTCCTCTTCAGTCCACCACGGCAGAATCCGTTGCTAAGGCAATATTGCGGGAATGGATTTCCATTTTCGGCTGCCCCTCGGTTATAATGACAGACCGTGGTCCACAGTTCCAGTCGATATTATTCAAGGAATTCGTGAACTTGCTTGGAGCTACCCATATCTCGACAACTGCATATCACCCTTGTACAAATGGCCTTGTCGAGAGGTTCCACCGTCAACTTAAAGCCGCATTAACAAGTTCTGACACTGCCCAAACTTGGCTGGAGAAATTACCGTTAGTTATGCTTTCATTACGAACCCTGATGAAGGAAGATCTTCAGTGCACTCCTGCAAATCTTGTCTTTGGTACATCGCTCACTTTACCAGGTCAATTTCTGGACAGAAACACAACTATAGCGCCAACCTCTACCTTTATACAGCACCTTCAACTTAGAATGGCTGAACTATCACTCACTCCTACACGAGTACACCCTAAGGAGATTTACCTTCCCAAATCTTTACAAGACTGCGACTATATCTTCGTTAGACAAGACGCAGTAGAAAAAACCGCTAACCCCTAATTATTTTTAAAGTACTTTCGCGACAACCAAAGTATTTTACGATTCAGATATACAACGGCCAGTCGAACATCGAAACAGGTAGGAGAGTGCATTGGCCTTCTAAGTATCGCACCTACGTGACATATTAAAAAAATTTCTTTAATCTCCGGTGGGGTGATGTGCAGATCTATTACGCACGAACATACATACATACACACAAAAATAGAAATCATATACAACGCCAAGCATTCATTGGTTAATTAATCAACATTACGTTATTATAGGCAATTTACAAATCGCAGTAATGCGACAATTTTGTAATCGCTCTATTTTTAACTAGTCAATTTTGTGCACTTTTGGGAGAAACGGATCACAGAAACTTTCTTAACTCTCCCCAAATCTCGCTCTCTGATTGGTCGATGCCAACCAATCAGATCGTTTGCACGTGAAGAATAATTCTTCCCTTGCAGCGATTTGGAGCCTACAGTCACTTATTTAAGCAAGAGTTTTCTAATCCTAATTAATGAGATTTCAATTGCCAAACGAATACTATGTTTTTCCACGCCCACATTTTATTCGTCTGCGATTGACTAATAAATCAATACTACCTTTCTATAGGACAATTTAGCCATCGCAGTCGTTGCTTTGAATTTTTCGGTTTTGAACTTGCTTGCTTGTTTCGTTAGTACGAATTTAGTGATTGGTTAATTTTTAACCAATCACATTTTTTAATGCCAAAATAACTTTTCCCGCGCTTTTCCTGAGAGCCAACTTTTTCCTTAAAAGAGGCGACTTTTTCACAAGTCACAAGAAAGGTCCAGTAAAATTCGCCTGTCTACACAAACCTACGACCTTCCTCACAACATTTCAAACGCACACACAGACACAGAATTTTGTAATTAAAACTTACATTTCTCTCTGTATTTAGCCAAGTTCAATCAATCGGAACTCTGTTAATTTCTCTAACACAACACACATTTTGATCAATTGTATTCTTGTGTTATCTATTCTAACAAACAGTTCTTTGTTCTAATATTGATTCCTGAACATTTTCTCTCAAGAGGATTGTTTTCGGACAATCAATTACAAATAAAAAATACAGTAAGGGGAGCAACTTCTTTTCCTTAATCTATACATTGAAAATAATTTTATTATATGTTTGTTCTTGTATGTTATTTCAATATATATACTTGTTGATTCACATTTGGAGTTTTGTTGTTTACTTGAATCCTGTACGTTTAAAGTATAATAATATAAATAGTAGTGGTCCATCTACTCTCCGGTACCGTTACAAATCCACAGCAGTTGAAACCATGCGCCAACTTTCTCACTCACACACGCGTCACTCACATGCTGAATATACCTTGTACACACTCACATAAACTCTTCTTACACGGCAATATCTTTCACGAACAATCATTACAAGAGACTCTCATGAACATTTTTCCAGTGAACTTTGGGACACTAAAATAACTGTTATGTCGTGTATCCACTAAGTTCTTATTCCACTTCCGTTCTCGTTGGTGTACATTTATGAGCTACCTGCTCATATGCAAATTATACTAATTTGCATATCACTACATCTCCCTATAACGGAGGGGCCTTATGCATGAGTACTTCTTGTACTTCTTCTTGTGCCCTCCTGAACATCTTCCTTTATCCCTCTCCTTTCCTTGGAGATCTAGATCTATCACGTCTTTCCCTATAATCGAATTGTTCCTCTTGCATACTCTGGTCTTCCTCTTCTAACTCATCCTCTCTACTTCTTCCTGCGCAGTTTCATTCTGCATTAACTCTTCTGATACATCAATAATGGGCATCTCTGAAGGCATTTCCTCATCAGATTCTTCTCCTTGGGATCTTATTTGGTCAGCATGAGCTAGAACACTGTTCCCATTTTCTTTATTTAATATTGCAGTATTATGTCCTTTCTGCATAATAAATTCGGCTGACTCTGGTTGCATATTCCTATTTCTTTTTGTACCACATCTTTTGATTTGTGGCATATGACATAGTCAAAGGGGACCTTAATTGTCTGCCCATTAAGGCAGATGGACTTTCCGGCCTGCCTGCATATGGAATTGTTCTGTAACTTAATAGTAATCTTGGTAGGAAAGCATCGATTTCCTCCTTCTGTTGCAAGCATGCTTTTATGCCCTTCTTTACCGTCTGGACCATCCTTTCCGCTGCCCCATTACTTTGAGGGTGGTAGGGAGGGGTCTTGTAAGGTCTGCATCCTATTTTTCTTAGCCATTCATGCAAATCAGCATCCACAAATTCTGGTGCGTTATCAGTCACCAATGTTCTCGGTGTCCCATTCCTCGAAAATATTACTCTTAATATTTGTTTTACGGTGGTACTTTTTTTATCAGGTACTCTCACCACTTCAGGCCAACCTGAATATGCGTCTACTAATATTAATAATAGTCCTATCCCATTGACATAGGCATGGTCCATGTGTACTCTGCTCCATGGTTCTACTTCTCGGGGCCATACATGTATTTTCTTTTGCTTAAAATTCCTGAGTTCTGTGCATTTTTTGCATCTTTTACGTAGTCTTCTACGTCTCTTGAGTACCCCGGCCACCAGGCTTCCAATTTTAATCTTCTTTGCGTAGCTGCCACTCCACAATGTACGTCATCGTGTACACTTTTTATAACCTGTCTCCTCTGTGTTTCTGGGGGAACTACCAAGTCTCCATTACATATTATCCCGTTTTCTATAGTCATTTTATGTCTGATTTCTTTGAATGGTCTTTCAGCCATTGAACAATTTCCCCAGCGATTCTGTTTTATCCTTGACATTATTCTATTTAACACTGGGTCATTTGTAGTTTCAG